TTTGATGTTTCCTTGCGGGGGAGTGACGAGGTGCCTAGACGCCAAACATAAACTATTCCACCTGAGTTAGCTGACTTATCTGCAGTAAGGATGGTGGGTCAAAGTTGAACTATGAAATCTGTCTGTAAACATTGATGGATGTTTACATTACATTTATTCAATAAATCGACACTTTTATCCAAAACAACTTACAATTGCTATATATGCCAGAGGTTGCATTCCGCTGGAGCAACTAGGGGTTAAGTGTCAGGGACACATTTCTTTAAAGGTTAAAATTTCGTCCATGTTAAGTGGTGTTGTCACTCAAGATCATTGGATCTCTATGAGTGACTCCCGGTAACACTTTCCTGGTTAAAAACAAAGGGTGTTTACTCGTAAAACTCCCGAGCCTGTTGCAAAAAGAAGCACTGTGGACGTAACTTTTGCTGGGCCCAAAGGAATATGTTGCAGCTACTATAGCCGGTTTGTGGCTGCCAGCTGAAGCCATCTACTGCACAGATTCCAAAACTTTTTGTACCTACTAGTTATTTTGACTAGTATGTCAGTAACCTCTGGTAAAATATGTGAAATAATAATAATATGTTTGACTAAATTGGGGATTTAGTTTAAAACCTGTATGATTGTCTGACTGCTCCTGTTTCTTGACCTTTTTAGCAATGTTGCAACAATTAACATGGTGAGTTTAATGTTACTACTAGAGGTAGAAAGTAACGAATTACAATTACTAACGTTACTGTAATTGAGTAGCTTTTTTGTGTACTTGTACTTTTCAAAGTAGTTTTGTAAATCTGTAATTTTACTTTTACTTTTATTTTGTTTTATTTAAAATATTGTACTTCGCTACATTTTCAATCACATCCGTTACTGAGTAAAAAGTGCAAGGAAAAACCTGCGACCACTTCGGCTTCAAGTGTAAGAGAACAGAACAGCTTTATCATGCAGTGTTAAGCTGTGAAAAGAAAATGCTGTATTAAGTTACTGCTGATGCAAACTGAACATTTCCTGTTGCTGCAGCTTCATTTATTTTGAAGTAGTCACTGGAAATGCAATCTGTTTGTAAGTGAGATCAGCGCTGACCGCTGTCGTGTAGACCGCTACAATGTGTCAACACGACAAGACATCCGTCATTTTTAAAAATTTTTTGACAGCGGACCAGTTTGAAATAGGCCTATAGCAGTGAGTAATGCAATAGTCAGGAGCAGACACAGTGAGCTTTTAGATAAAGAGCTGCATGCGAAAGGCTGCACACCTCCACCTTCGCAGCCAGGTAACTGACTTCTTACACTTTCGCTGTTCACAGACTCATGTTGTGTACAGTTTAAAGTCACATCATGACTGCTCACATAATTATGGAAAATAACAATAACTGCCCGACAATAGTTTGTTTAGCTGCCCCAGACTTTTGTGTCCTGAGGTATCAAAAGGCATCTGCTGTTACCGTAGTAACTACAGGTGTCTCATGCACAATAACGGGCAGCTGCATAGCGTCACAACAGGTTAATGCCAATCAGAGATACATTTACAATTACAGATTTTAACCATCACTCTTCAGTGAACTCCTTGGCAGCGGTCTAAGAGCATTTTCTAGTTAAGTAGGCCTATGTAGATTTATCCTTATGGATTTAGACCTACCATGTTTTTAAGGAGTCTGTTCACACTGATATAGGCTAATAAAAAGGTTCATTTTGCGAAAGTTGAAAATATTAAACAGTAATATGGCAATTATTTTGGAAAGCCCGGCCCCCACAGTGTCTGCCTAGAACAAATGTAGTTGAGGACCCCTGATGAAGAAGTCAGTTAAATAGCCTACTTCCATTGAAATTTAAAAATAAGTTTTCATAGTTTGGAAAGAGGCCAAAAAACATCAGTGCATGACAATGTTTGTTGGCATTAGCAACTTGCTGGTAACTATTTATTTATTGTACTAAAGTTTGAATGTAAATAGGGATATGACTTCATAAAGTCCAGTGTTTCCCATTCTCCCAGTCCAGTGCGGCCTGCCATAGTATAATCTGTTCCGCCACAATTTTCCTAATAAAGCGAAACCATTCTCAAACTTCTCATTAAATGTCATTGTGGTCAAGTATCTATCAAACAAACTAAAATTGGAAGCGCCATATGGCTTTGTTCCATTATGAAATCACAAAAGACTGCAATTTAATTAAATAAGTACAATACGTATAAATAAGATATTAAATCCATATAAATAAGTTATTTTAGGAGGTTAAAAAAGTAACTAAGTAACTTTTACTCTGAGTAAATTTTGAATGAGCTACTTTTTACTTTTACTTGAGTATATTTTTATTCCTGTAGTTTTACTTGTACTTAAGTAAAAGTTCATCAAAGTAATCGTACTTTTACTTAAATGTTCAGTGTGTAAGTTTTAGTGGCATCTAGTGGTGAAAGTTGCGAATTGCACCTCCCCTCCCCCATCCAAGCGACTTGTATAGCTATGGTGCCTGAGAAAGGACAATTAGATCTCTCTCTGTAAAGATAGCAGAGACTTGCCAGTCAAGAAATCAGGTTCCTTTAGATTGACATATTAAGAAATTATATTTACTTGATTATTCAGTAAAACCATATGTTATTGTGAATATTATTGTTACTTGTTCATTAAACAGCCACATCAAGAAATGAAGTGTTACATGATGTCTTATACTCCTGTAATACATTATTATACTGTATTGTAACCATACTTGTTACATCTTACATCTGTAATCATACTGTTTGTTACATTTTTGGCTCACCTGGACTAACATACCAAAGCAAAGAACATCTCAAAAACTATCACATCTAGTGCATCAAGTATGACCACTGACCGATACCAAGAAAATGTAAGCCTCACTGTTTCTGCACCACAGTCCATTATAAACCACATAATATGGTCAGGTGAGGATCAAGGCTCCTCTCACTTTGCTTAATCAGTTAGATAAGAAATCTGCAAATCTTACCAAAATATTATTTTAAATTTTTTGAAATACAACAGAAACACAAAAAAACCCCGCTTTTGAATTAATTAATTCAACTTCATGTTTTTTCTACCAGAGCTGTAAAAGTTTAGCTGGCTGAACGCTTCCATGCTGTAAACTAACGTTACTGTTTTATTGCCAGTTACTGATCAGCTGATTGTCTAACGGCTAACTTTACCGGAAAAGCCAAACCACAGTGATGGAGAATAACAAGGCTACATGAAATTAATCCAACTAATGTTAAATATTTTACACCACTGAAACGTGTCACTTCTCTCTGTGATTATGGCCAACAGCTTTCATTTGCATCGCTAAAGTCCGATTAACTTAATTACCTGTCCAGCAGAAAACAGACAACTTCAGCTCCGCTTTGAAAACATCTCTCCCACATCAAAGCCTTCCATCTGGGAAAATTCACATCGATTATGTCCGTGATTTTTTGCAGTTATCTGTCTACATCTGTCCTGACTCTGTCTGGCTTCATCTTATTAAGATCCACAGGCTTTTTGCTCTCGTGCTAGATAACACCTGTGCTCGTTCATTTGTCCAAATGTCACTTCTCTTCTTACTTCTAATAAACCAGAGGACTACTGCATTATTATTATTATTATTATCATCATTATTATTATTATTATTGTTATTATTTTCTCTTCTTCTTCTATGGACGCATTTAATGTAGTGGCGGTGTCTACACTGCTGGAATTATACAAGCAGAAGAAGAAGCCATGATGACGAAACGCGCTCTGTAGCTCTTGGTCCATTGTCGTCTATTGTAGAAACATGACGAACCAATACTGTGACCTCCATAGAAGGGGGGGCCTGCAGTTATGGAGATATAAATGGCTCATTCTAAGGTATAATAATAATAATTATGGATATTATATTGCATTTCTGTGAATAGATCCTCAGAAATATTACACACTGAACCTTTAAGTAGAATATTTTTGTACTCTTTCCACCTCTGGTAATTACTGACAAGAATGATGGACCAAACTAAGAGAATGAGACCCAGTATCTGGTATCACTGTTTAACATACATACATGTTACACACAACCTCTGCGTCATTTGCTTCAGGGCCAATTGATCGGGTCCGATCTGACCCAAATGATAATTACATGCACAGCTTACACTGTGCTGTGCAAATACACAGAAATATTTCAAGCACACTACCTGGTTCACGCACAAAAATATTAAAGCAGGAACTCAAAGAAGAAAGTATTACTTTGAAGGCAGGGAGAGCGAAAAACACAAGATTTCACTTTCATGTCAAAGGTGAAAGCTAAAAAGCAAAAAAGAAGATCAGCGGTGTTTAGTGGATAAGTTTGGCAGGACGAAAATGAATATTTGATTTTCGTGCTCTTCCTGCAAACTGTGATAAATATTCAAGAGAGGGCAAAGCCTCAAGAGTTCCCCTTCATGAGATGAGACACCGAGCATGCGGCTGGGAGCCAAGTCAAGCGTGTAGCCACACACATGGTTCACACGCAAACGCACACTGTGGCCAAAACTAAAGGAGACCCAGTCTGATATTACACAAAGACACACGATTTCTCTCTGTGTCTTTCTCTCTCTCTCTCTCTCTCTCTCTCTCTCTCTCTCTCACAAACACACACACATATTTGGAGATGCAAACACAAATATGGCCTCCAAATTGGTGATTTCCGTCCTTATTTCCGCTCAAATAAACATAGCTGAGCAATTGTGTACACGCTGACAATAACACACGCATGAATGCACTCTAAAATAAATGCCTACATGCACACACACATCTCACAAAAGCTCCAAAAGGTGGCACATGTCAGAGCTGAGAGAGCAAAGTTTGTTTCCACCTTCGTCTTACAGTAAAACAAAATATCCACTTCAGGCGCTTTTATCACCCGATGAGTGGGGAATGGAGGGATTTAAAGCTATATACAGTATCTGGGGTAAGAGCTCATTTTATGATTCCTATCACCAGTTTCAGGGATGGTTGTCTGTCTTCTCAGTGTGTTTGTCTATAAAATTTCAACATCCCTGGGAGAACCACTTACCGTAGCGGCCTCAGGGTCCTCAGCAGCCTCAGCACTCTGAGCATGCCCAAGATCTTAGTACCAGAATTGGAGATGAGCGACACCAGGATGTCAATAACAGAAATCATCACCAGCATCCCATCCAGAATGTTCCAGCTGCTCCTCAGGTAGGACTTGTCCCCGAAACACCATCCCAAAGCCACAATCTGGACACACGTATGACATAGAGGCATGGTGCGTGAACATATAGCAGAGGGTCATTACTGCACGTTACTGACATAGCAGATAACACAAAGGGTAACCTGCTGTGGCACCGATTTGGTTTGGATACATTTCAAATTTAACATGAACTTCCAATGTGTGTGGCACAAAAAAGATACACAAATCAGTAATTGGATATCTGTTTTTGTCTGCGCGTTTGCAGATCTGTTATTTATGAAGCCTTCTTTTGTATTTATTAGGAGTCGATACTTAATGTCCCATACGCACAGCTTATTGACTTTTGCAAAGCAATTGTTTACTTGGCAGCAATCATAAAAGCTGCAAGCTCTTCCAAACTTCATTTCTTATCCTATAGGTTCCACACATCATTTATTCTGCCCATAAAGCAATTTGCATTCCAGAAAATAATACAGACTGGCTGCCTTTTTGTTTGTTTGTTGTTGTTTTTTTTAGCTCAAACTTGTTACATCAGGCACAGACAACTGTTTTTTTGCTTTGTGCATTTCTGAAGACCTTTTGTAAGAGAGAGAGTGAGATGTCGATGCTAATCAGTGCGTAACAGTATATACTGTATATGAATAATGTGACAGGGGAATCTTCAAAGAGGCTGATCAAACTTTACTGAGACAGTCCAGACAGCTTCTACTGACTCTCTACTTTGAGTAGCTGAATTCAGTAGTGCATATATGCATATATGCAAGTACTTGATTGTTATCCCGAAAATTGTGAGACAATTATAGTTTGCCTATTTCCATGTCATGATGCGTTATACTTCTACTGCACTACATTTCAAATGGAAATATTGTGCTTTTTACGTCTCTACAACTATATATTTTAATATAACACAATGAAAGAGGCTATTCTGTTTGTTTTGAAGGTACTTCAACCAGTTGTGGAAGAAGTATTCAACAATGTAAAACTACTCCATTGTAAGTGGAAAAAAGAAAAGCCCTGCATTCAGACTTATACTTAAGCAAATGTACTTAAATTATTAAAAGCCAACATTACTCATTCTGTAATTGTGACTTATATATTACATTATTAGTAATACTGATAACTGCATAAATATGAAAAAGCAGTATGTTTCTGTTGAAGCTGTTTCACGTCTTTGGACTTTTATCTAATCTTTGACCTTTGCTGTGAAATATGCAGTCATTTTTACTATTCATTCACATGGGATAAGGGGACCCAAACAAAATTTTCTTTGTTACAAAACCACTGGTTCAATCTTTGCACTGCAATATATACTTTGATCCCTTTGAAATGTAGTGGGAAAGTAGTACATGAAAATTGTACTTGACTTCAACTTAAATAAACATTTAAACATTGTACCTGTAATGCTATATTTTTGCATGCAGTATTCTGACATTCATGTACGTAAAAGATGTTAATAGTTCTTCCACCCCTGGTAACATAAGGATAGTCTTTTAGAGGAGAGGATACTTAAAAATCAAATGATACAAACAGTGCTTTGTGTGTGTGTGTGTGTGTGTGTGTGTGTGTGTGTGCACAGGCCCCATGTTCAAGAGCCCGCCAATCGCTCTGGGACCAAAAATAGAGACAGAGGCTTTGAATGAGTGACACCCATGAACTCTCCTCCCCTCTGCCTCTGCTCACTCCTGCCCACGCGTGCATGGACCTCCATTCAAAGCTGGTCCATTTGAATACTGGCGAGACAATCCTCCGCTTCGCATTATGAAACAGCCCTGAGTGTGCGCATAGTGTGTGTTTGAGTCTCAATCTCTCATTCTCCTTCCCCTAATTCAGTTTTCCTTTGTATTTTGGGGGGGCTTTTTGGTACATGCAGGTATCAGGCCGACTATATTTTCTCTGCAACTTTGTGTCTGAGCAGTATTTGGAGTCTGGTTTGGTTTTCTCAATCTTATGTAAATTTACATTGTGAGTGAACACAGATGTTTCATCTTGTTTCTTTCAAAGCTGGAGACAAATAATGAGGTATGGCAGCCTAACATACCGAATATTTTGTGGCATAGGAGCTGATGTCAATTGAGTCAGTGAGTAAGTGAAGATTTTGTGAAGGGATACAAAACATGTACCTTTAAAATGACGAGGCACAGGCCATAAAATGCAAGTTACATGCTACGGAATAAAGATATTCACTGATATTTATGTGTAATATGTGTCTCACCTTTACGGTCATCTCAGCCACAAAGATCGCCGTGAAGATGTAGTTGGACAAATTTAGGAAGATCCGCTCCTGCAGTAAAGAAGGAAAAGAGACCTGGGTGGGTTGAGGTACATGCTAACAGTTGTAATGACTTAAAATTCACAGTTTTGTTTTAAGCAACAGTTTGTTCTTTGTCTGCATCTAAATTGATTCAGTGTACAGCTGAATAATGTATGAGGGAGCTATTTTCCTCAATCACCAGCATTTCTGTACAAACATCCCTGCTGCACTCTAATGATGGCTGGCAGGCAATTACAGTGTTTACTATTTATTTGCACTGCACGGAATATTCAAACAAGGCGTCTAATCTTTGGGCCAACAGTCTTAATGTTAATTCCTTTGTGTTACTTGAATCACCTGAATCAAATCAGTTGCACTGTGAACAAGTGGCATTATATCACCTGTAGAATATTTCAGTGGTGCTGAGAAACAAGATTTTTAGGTGGAAGTTGACAGTTTTCCAATGAAACGAGCAAGTTGCATCAGGTCCTTTATTTGTTCATTAGAGATAAACAGTCAGTTCAGAAAACAAGCACCATCATTGTGTTATGTGAGCATGCACGCAACTCAGCACCATCAAGAGTGGGCTATTAGCTTACCATCTATACACACATACAACACTACTTGCTTCCCTGTTGCCTGAGGCAGCGTTGCTCAGTGGTGTTTGTGTGCATGCAGGAGAGGATGGGAGCCTATTTACTGAGCTAAACAAGGACTGACGAGAGAAAACAAGCACGCTAGCAAGAATAAGATCCCTTCACCGATTGCTTATTTACCCAACTTCCCCTCTGTCTGGGGAGACACAACCCTGTCCTACCACTGACTGCCTATGTACTGGCTGTGTGTGTGTGTGTGTGCGTGCGTGCGTGCGTGCGTGCGTGCGTGTGAGCGGTTGTAGGTGACTGCCTTTCCCACGGCCTCCAACTACCATCACGAGGAACACAAAATCACACACACAAACACAGACATGGCAGTCCTGCAGCGTTTTCTTGCGATTCCTCTGGGAATGTTAGGCATGACATTACTGGGAATGTTGAGAGGGTTTATAAATTCCAGACTTGACAGCAGCCATTCCCGTCTTCTGTGAACGTTCATTCATTCAGCGTTGAAAGAGTGAGACAGAGGTGAAAATGTACGCTGTCTGCGTTAATGAGAGATGAATTCAACAGGTCAACAGTTTACCTCAATTTGCTGTCAGTCCAAACACACTCTAGCAAAAGGCTGGATATTTAGGTGTGATTACATTACATTACCAACTGTAGCCTACAAGCTTTTAACTTAGGCAGGTTACACAAATAGACCTTGTGTTAACTAGCAAGCCTTCAAAAATAAAGCAATATAAACTTAAAGTTACCCTTTGTATAAGTGATGTGTGCGCTTACATTTGCCAACTGAAATGAAAAAACAAAAAGTCTAAAAAAACTTATCTTAATCTTAAATGGAGAATTTAGCTCTAAGGCCTAAACAAACAGCTCCAACATCACCATTTTAGCTAGCTATTGTGCAAAAATGAAGCACAATATCAACTTTAGGTTCTTTCTTTCCCCAGATCAAGTCTTATATTACATATACAAAGTGATGAATAAAAAATCTATAATCTTAGCAAACACTGTCAAACAAACAGAGATTTTACACAGTCATTTTTTTTTCAGCCTACTTTACATACACTCCATGTATGTTTTGTCAAAGTGAAATGAACTAAACGATGATATGATAAAAAAGCCTAAATGACAAATTATCCACACATTCTGAATTTTCTCCAACAAGCTTAACTTGCTCTAGAAGACTAAGCACATGTGTTAGCTTGCTAGCCATAATACTGCATGTCAATAACATTAGCTGTTGCCATTTCACATACATAAATGAAGCAAAGTCACAACTTTGGGTTACTTTTTCAAACTGACTGAAATTAATTAAATTAGATAATAAACAATGTTAAAGAAACAGAGAATTTCCTCTCTAGCAGGCTAAATATAGTTTGCTAGCTTAAAGTTTCCACGTAAATTGCTGTGGCTGCTAGTCATTTTAGCCAACCAAAATGAAGCACAGAATCAAGTTTACTGTAATTTTTCCATATGTATAGTTACGTTTAGTTAAAATTTAAATAAACAAACTGATAAATAAAATTAAGTCTATATAAAAAATCTGAATTTGGGGGTTTCCCCTCCAGCAAACCACCCATAGGTGATGGCATTTCGTTATGCGCACTGGTTGATTCCTTTCCTTTAGTGGGTGATTCTAGCTCAGCCTGGTTTGCAGTAATGTGGCAGAGACCAGCAATGACTTAAACTGAGAGGCACTTTGCCATGTTACACGCCAGTGAAAAACACTAACCAATACTAAACACTTCAAGTAGGTAATCCACAATGCTCCACTAGGCATTGTACAGTGGCAGCCACAGATGCTAGAGAGGTATACTATCTTTCTAACTTTTAAGGAGCACAAAAATTCTACAACTGTATAATGACAGCAATGCATTAGAAGATCACTGTGCAGAAATGCAATGTTAAATCTTTCTTAATGCATCATTCAATTATGCAATTACAAAGTCTTCCTGTATTCCAGAGCAGCAGAAAACAAGAGTCATCCCAATACCTCCTGGAAAGCCTTCTTCGGGGTCCAGTGAATAGCGCCATCTCTCTATCTTAATGTCTGGATCAGATGACGTGGCTGCAGAAAACTTAGATTGATTATATTTTATACTGTTAATGCTGATATAATCCAATTTTGAGCCCTAGACAGTGATGTAGTGTCCCCTAGCTCAATTAGGAATAATAATTCATAATAGGTGGTATAATCATCCTCAATCATTTCCACTGAGCAACAGGAAGACAGTATCCAGGCAACCTCCAGCACCAAACCAAAACAGCAATAGACTTAAAGCCAAAAAAAAAAGTGTGTGTGACATAACTTCCAGGACAATAAACTAATTATTCAGCCTGCATTCCACACTGAAATGTTGTGACTAAAAAATGTTATCTCTGTGTAACAATGACTACATTTCTATTTAAGGAATATAACATATGTCTTTTGTCAGGCTGGCGCTGTGGATGATGTAAAGCAGGTACTTCAAAAGAGTAGCAGTGATAAATTATACGTTTGGTTGTTATAAACGGCCACAACCGAATCAACAAGTGGAAAGTGATTCACAATTGGCTTCATTAATTCAAAACTACCCACACAGACAAACAAATAGCATCATGCAATGACCACCCAGGCAAATGAGATCTGCAGCAATAAGCATCACAGCTCAAAACTCTAATGACTGCTCATTCTTTTGTTTCGGGCTGCTTGCTGCGTCATAAATTTCCATCTAATTTCAATAATGACCTGCCTGGACACAACAGCCATGGCAGGAAACTGACAAAATATATGCCTTTAAAAAAATTACTAATGTTAGTGTGGCTGCTGTGGTTGATGTTGTGCATAATATGCATGTGTTATATTTACATATGTGAGTGTGCAAAGGTGAGAGGCAAGAAATCATCCCATCTGTATGTGTATGTATGATCTCTCTGCCCTGATTAGACCGGGCTGTCTGTGGGGCGACCTCCATTAGTTAAACATCTCCTTTCCAGGACATTAGCCACGTACGCCAGCCCGCAGATAATTGAATCAATTACAACGGCACTGTCTCCTCCGTGTTTTAGTCGCAAAACAAGCAGAACAGAACAATCCAGTGAGACCGAACCGCAATTAGGCCCAACCACGGAACACCTCGCTCAGTGATGGGGGGGGGGGGGATCACAGTGATAATTATTGTGTTTATGCATGGAGCGGCTAGGCTGTGTGACACAGAGTTAGATGTGTGCGTGTGTGTTGCTGCAAGGCATTCAACCAGCGCACCTCTATTTTTGAAGGGATGGTGCATTAGCTAAGGAGGTGATGGTGTTGATGATGCAGTGCAGTGGATACAGAGGTATAGCACACATTACCCAAAGCTATTGGCTCACAGTCATAGCGGAGTGGTTCCCTGCTAACACACAGTTCCACTTAATTTCTCTGCAGAGAGCAAACTACAGTAGCAAGTTAGCAACTTTGTTTTGGGTGTGTGTGTGCATGTGGACTTGCCGATAGGAACTTTCTCCCTTTTTTCTCCATTTCAGTTAGGACTTTTTTGATTCTACACATAACTTTCAGTTATGTCTGTGTCTATAAATATAGACATCTTATATATCTATATATATATATATATTATAGATATACACTTTTTCTTTTTATCCACTTCGTTCTGCGTTTGTGATTGAAGACTGTGAAGGCAACACACTCCAGCTGTGTTCTTTTCATAGACTCAAACTTTACAGAGTGGATATCCTGTCATATAGTCAGATGGTGTCTTTGTACTGGGTTTTGAGACTCACAGCACTGGTGGGGTCGATGCGAGGCCTCTCCATTGCGATAGTGATGCAGTTGAGGAAGATGATGACCAACACAATGTGGTCGAACATCTTGTGGTTGATGATCTTATTGCACAGGATCCGAAACCTGACAAAAAATACACAGATATTTGAAATTTCAGTAACACCAAAAATGGACTTGACACATAAGCATGCAAATAAAACAAGCAAGTGTACCTGTCAGTGTGTGTTTTGGTATGATTAAAGGATCTTCCCCTGATTTCATGCTTTACAATTATTACCAGAGGTGCAACTAGTTGAAGCAGTAGTAGCTGTGTCATAGATGCTGTTTGAGACTGATGCTGTCCTCCTTCTTCAGCCTTCACTTGGATGTTTTGACCATCACTATGCAGAATGATGTACGTGCAGAGTTTTCACCTTCATCTTAGCTCCCCTAAAAGCGTGATTTGTGATATTTTGGGGGGTTTCTAAAATATTGACAGCATGCTTTACTGACATTAATCACCATATTTCACTATCATCATGGATAATCAGGAGTGTCAGACTTCATCCAGCCGGAGGGAACGATAACCAACCATCCGCAGTGGGCCAGTCGCTCCGCGATCTCCTGTCCCTGGTCCGCCCCACTCCCTACTCCCTCTCTGCTACGGGTTGTGTCGCTAACACGGCCGACGCGCTGTGAACAGTTCGTGATCGTTCCCTCTGGCTGGATGAATATTAAGCACGGTCCATGCACTACTGCAGCTGGGGGCTGTCCGCAACGTCAGGCAACTTTCTAAATTATTCCCTCTCACGGAGAAAAGAAAGGTCAGGTTGCAAATGCATCCATAGCTTTTGTGTGAGAATCTGGATTTTTCAGGAAGGAAGGACTAGTTGCACCGTTAACAATTTTCAACTGGGTAATTAAACTTTTATATGTCTTAAAACATGTCTTTCGGTGATATTTAAGTATAAACTGCCTTTTAGAAATGCTCCATTACAAGTAGAAGGCCTGTGAAAAAAGTGAAAATGTCACTTAAGTAAAAGTATGCAAGTATTATCAGTCCACTGTACTGAGAGAACTGTGTGAAAGATGTGTGTATGTAATAAATTATTGAATTATTACTGCTGATGTATAAGTAGCCATACTAATTTTACGCATTTTATATACTGGTGAGTAGTTTAACCTATATTGCAATTATTTTGATAAACATATCACGTTTTGTAAGTAAAACCATTTACAATGTAACTAGTAATCTGTCAAATATGTACGGACACTTTACAAATAATGAATAATCTCATTCAATTTAAGAGAGCTTGTCTCACATCCACTAGCTCTGTAATGAACCGCTTTAGAATTAGGAATCATTAATTATGCCTGACTTTCATTACACAACATGAAAAGGTTCCCAGGCTTTTAGCTTGTGACAACAGAGAGAAAGAAAGAGGGAACGATTGTTATATATGACACTGAAAAGGATTAAACGGTGCATCAAATCCACTTTGATGGCTCATATCGGTCTAAGTGTACAGCAGGGGACAATATTGTGAGGCTTGGATCTGGATTTTTGGCTTTATTCTGCATTGCAGACACCATTGTGTCAACACTGCTGAGAATTACTAAGTTTGTGTGTGTGTGTGTGTGTGTATGTGTGTCATCTGACTGTGGTGATCTTTATGCATACAGCACACAGACTGGATGAATTAATTCCTCTTTGATATCCGCACGCCAAAGCCTTAATGCTAAAGAATTCAAGTGTTTTCCTCGAGCAGGAGGAAGGGAGGACACATGGCAAACACACGCCTCTGATGCCAGCTCTTCCTTCGCGGTTTGAAGAGCTGAAGTCTGGCAGAGGACTTTAATGTCAAGTTCAAATGGCCCCCAAGACTTACAAACACACCAAAAAAAAACAAAAAAACCCCGGAAAAACCTGTCAACAGACTCTCAAGCAAAAATCAAAAATACCCCTTTCTGTCAGACCTCTTGATGACATGACTGTTTATATGGAAAGATTTTGACCTGTTTGACAAGCTTCCTCCTCTGATGATATTTACTGATGTTTTGAGTTTTTTGGCATCAATGCTTCAACTGCTTCTAAATGACAGACATAATTTACTTAAAATGTGATTACAGTTATCACCAAGCTTACCCAAACACTACTCTCTTACAAATTCTCTAATTTAAAGCTGTACAACATCTTTTCCAACATGTTTGCTTATTTTAACATTTTAACATCTCCGTGGTGGTTTTACATTGCACTTCCGTGTGTAGCTGGTAGTGTGACATGGTTGCTTGGATCTTCTTTTTTTTTATTGTTTAATATTATATAGATGTTGCTTATAGCATCTGCAGCAGAAGTTTGCGTTTCGGTCGGTGGTGCTCAGATGATGGCATGACCTCTTTGTGCAGCACGGCTAGAAAAGATGAGAGCCGCCGTGCTAATTACCCGGTTCTTCTTCTGTGCATTCCAAACAAAAAAGAGACGCTTCCTGTGTGCTGGGTGATTGCTTTCCAGGGAAGCGCTGACAGATGCCGAGAACAGTTAACAGTTTTCTTCAGTTATAGGCTGAATCGCTTTAATGTTAGGTCGTTCAGCACTGCAAAGTTGCAACACAAAAAGTTTAGACATTAAGATGACACAGATCATTACTTTTCACTATTTACTGTAATTCTGAAACATCCTCCCTGCTGTCTATTTGTTCTATTCTTATCTAGGATTCTTATATGCTCCTCAGATGACCCACTACTCCCACCAGGTTCAGTATAGTTCCACATAATCTATGCAAAACCCTCAGGGAGCCCTGCACATCCCTGGTCCCCATGGACCATTGTTCTTACACAGCCCGTGGCAAACACATTTAATTGTAGTGACTGCATTACAGTATGCCTTCATACAGTAGCAGGGCGGCTACTCCGCTCGTTTAAAACTTCCCCTGCAGTAATCATCAGTAGTAGTAATAACAACCGTGAGCACAAAGGCAGGTTAAGGTGAACTCAAGTCCATGTGAAAGCTGCTGGACTCTGGCCTCCCACTATGTTGCTGTCTCTTGATGTGTTTGCGAGCACAGGCGGGCGTCCACGGTGGTTCAAGGCCAGAATGGGCGCCACGCAGAGCCTGTGTCCTCGTGTCACTCTCTGCGACAGCCAAACCATGCAGCCTGCTGCGATTGAAAGCTAGCTAGAAAGCTTGGTTTGAGCCAAGATCCTTCAGTTTTCTTAATACTAACAATAACAGACTACAGGGAGCAATTCCTATTAACCTTTTTCATATTATATAATACAGTCAACAGGGAAGAGAACCATCCAGAACTTTTGAAACGGCTCAGATTCACAGATATGAGAAATAGATGAAATAACCTAAACCATAAAACTGCTTTTGGATATTTTATAGAAACAGGGTACAACTCCACGGAGCACTTCATACTGTGTATCCTAAGAACACTGATACAAGCCATTTTAACTCTCAAAAGTTAACATTTTAAGCAATCTGTCACTTTGCAACATTCAAAGATTTGGGAGGACCCACCCTTATAAATTTATATTCCACCTGGAAAGTGGAAGCTACCAAGCTAGGCTAACTACCCTCCATTCAGAAAGTTCTAAAGTCTTTTGCTAACTTTAGCGCTGATGCTACTTTCCGTTTATGTTTTTTTAACACCTGCTGAGTCAGTGGCAGCTTCCACACACTCAGGTGTGTATGTCCTGCATTATAATGTTGGGGTTAGCTAGCATTAGCTGTCTCTCTTTCATGGATTCAGGCCCCATCCACACTACTGCGTTTTCGTTTTAAAACGGACACCTTTTGCTACATTTGTACCTCCCGTCCAGACTAAAACGGCGGGTAGCGTTGTAGTGCGGACGGACAAAGATGACCCACTTATCCCAAGGACTTTAGAAACGATGAAGCAGACGCTCACATTTGCTCTTTGATTGGGTCTTATAAGTCATACAAAGCAGAAACACGATGCTAGTGACAGAGTTTTTGATGTGGCATTTTTATTAAAATATTTTGTATCGTGCAAATAACACTTACTGCCTAAACTTGTACTGTGTATGTCGCCTTATTTACTTTGCGACTACTCCCAGTCTGTTTTCCGGCATCACAGTCACTTTTAACTCCCGTGTTACATTCAGTAACAGTCCCAGCTCGTCTTGCAAAATAAAATCTGGTGCGGTTCTTTGTCTGTATTTCTTTACTCTTTCGCCAAATTTTCTGTAACTACAAAATAGACCATCTGCTTCATGTTTACACCGGCATGCCCAGTGTACGTGAACGGCCACTAGATGTGCGTTTTCAGTTGTTTTAATTTTACTTCACTTAGTCTTTAATACTTTCTGTGGTGCTGCTAACACAAGTAACTCTGATGATGTAGATCATCTTCTACTGTATCTTTAAGTCCTTAAACACCCCAAACATCTGCTCATTTGGAATGGACATTATATGACACTGGTGAAGGCTAACATTAAGTGCCCATGTGGGGAGGGGCTCGTCTTTTGATGTTTAATTAGCATGTCGCGGTGCTGTGGGGGCAGGCTGGGGCCAGCGTGTTGCTTGGTGTTGCCTTCACAGCCACATCCTCCAAACAGACAGCAGAGATGCACAGATCAAAGCCCCAGAAGGAGAGGAGGAGTAAAGAAGGAGGGGTGAAGGATGGCGGGAGGCGATGGATTCCGCACGTGGCTGAGATAACACAGCACTCAGTTGGAGAAACTCCCTTCCTCCCTCTGGTCCTACTTACTCACCCCTGACATGGCAGAAATGTGCAGATAAAAGAGACTTCTGAAGTGAGAATGTGGGAGGGAATCGCAGTTGATATAGGATGGGTAGAAAAAATGCTGTGCTCACATTGGTGACATTAAAATCAGCATTCTGGGCTGTCAGTCTCTTCTTGTCAAGAAGACGGCTCAGTCTTTTCCTGTACACTTATAAAAAAAACTGATTTAAGAAGTGCTGTGAAGTTTTTCTTTTGAATATTTCATTTAATTTTAAAATACACAACTTTATTGGAAAATGGATTGTACTTGCATAGAGCCTTCCTAGTCTTCTGACCACTCAAAGTACTTTTACACACGTCACATTCACCCATTCACACACATCCATACATGGCAGAAGCTGAGGTGCCAACTGCTCATCAGAAACAGAAACTAACATTCACACATTGATGGCACAGCTTACCCGAGCAATTTGGGGTTCAGCATCTCGCTCAAAGACACTTAAGCACATACAGACTGCAGGAGCCGTTCACTTCCATGAATATGTAAAAAATCCCATATCATAGAAAAAGAACATGCAAAACTGAGTACAGGGCAAAGAGGTGGAGTTATGGAGATGAGCGCAGGTGTAAATACTACCTCGACTCTGGGGGGAAGAGGTAGAGTGACCATGTGTCTCGCTGTCGACACCACTCTGGTTGTTTCTTCTCCAGCCAGCGGAACAGTCTAGCAAAGCGACCCTGGAAGGAGTTAGAAGTGCACAGTACATTCATTATTCATATGTTCCCAATTTCCTGTTGTCCACTGAGTAAAGTTTTTGAATTGTTCTTGCAACACTGTTTATACTTATAATAATAAATACAATAAAACAAGGTTTGTCAAAAGGGCCATCTGCAAACCAACAGAGGGATATGCTTCAGCCTAATCCAATATGCTAATATGCATAGCTGAGATTCCATCAGAGATTATATAGTTTTAAATTATTAAACCCTTAAACTAATAATATTTATTATCTAGGGAATTTCATTTGGAGAGGGTTATGAGACAGGGCTGCCCTCCTTCCCCACTAATTCAACATAAACTAATCCTGATTCTAAAGCCTAGACACTATTTCCTTGTTTTTAAGATGCTTGGGAGGAAATTTTTTGTTCATGATGACAGAAGTACAAAAACACGCTAACGTGCACACAGACTTACCATGCTGGCCTCGTCTTCTGCATTTTCGTCTTCAGTGTTGTCCTCCAGAGAGACATGTGTGGGGCCCAGGACTGGCAAAGAGCCCTTCCCATTGCAGTCACTGTGCTCTGGGGGCCGTAACTGGCCCAGTGAGGGGGGCCTGGAGCTGTGCATACTGGCTGAGCGGTACAGATAGGGCACCTACACAGAGAAAACGACAGAATGCAGTTTAGTTTAGGTAGATTTGGTAACCTGTGTTTCATACAAGAAGATTTAGTACTGAATGCATTTGTTTATTGTTACTATGAGTGTTTTATCCTCCTCCCTATATTGCCCTGTGTGGTTGTCTTCTCTTTGGCTTTGTGAAGACTATATACATGTTGGAATTTTTGTGTTGGGCTGAAAGAACTGTACTGTTTTGTCACGTAAAGCAATTTCCCTCCGTCCTGCTAAGCTAAGTCCTTCCCTCGTGTATTCCTGAGAGCTGAGTGAACAGGTTTGCTTATTAAAGGGCAACTATGGTATTTTTTTAAACATGGACCCTTTATTTGTGTTCATGTGACTAATTGGGACAGCATTTGTTAAAACTGGTCCAGTATTGAGCAAGCTCGGATTGTTATTACAAGTGTCTGACAATATTATGAAAATGATACATACAGAGATAGACCTTTATAAAGGGTAAGATCCTTTTTTATTTGACCAGAAACAGTTGCTATATCGCTTTCATCAACCACCAGACTCCCTTGACAATAAAGCCGCAAGCGGCGGGAATGATCGGACTCCAAGCAAGTTGCAAAAAACGCAACATTTGACATTTTCAGAGGAGAAGAACAGATGCAGAAGACTTAAGAGATTAAAGTGATGAAAGAATGTGGATTTTGAGATAATTGCGGAAACGCAAACTTGATTTTTACAGCATCACCTTGAGATCAGAGAGTGTCATTACATGTACCTGACTACGGGGTGAAATGCTAAACCCACCAGATATATCTTGTGTTTCCAAGATTTAAAGTTTAAGCTGCACAAACACTTTTAAGCTGAGAAAATTAAGAAGAAAGTGTCGCGGGATCCAAATAAAATAGAGAACTTAGACTCACTATGAACTGAACACCCCCATTGTCAGCAAGTCTGACTTGGTCACCTGGGGATTTGAACCCTGGAACTTCAGATCTCCAGAGTAGGTGACTTACTGACTGATTTATTGGTGAGAAGCTGTTCCCACACACCTTCTCACAAGTTGATGTAGTGACGTCACATGTGCCAGACCCGGATATGACCAATCTGAAAACCCTTTGAAATACTTGATATTGGCCATCTGGAGAACGACTCTGTTGAGTTTGGTGGCGTTTGAGGAAAGGCTTGCGGAGATATAGATGTATAGCATATTCTGAAAAATATAGAGTGACATATCTGTGGATGTGCTGACAAAAATTCAGCTCTCTAGGACGTACAGGTGATTGTCTTCGATTTTCTGAAGTTAGGAATGAGAAATGTCTAAAAATTTAAATTTCTTGTAATAAGCCACGCCCACTTTGCGCAGTCATCAGAGATTGAAATAATGAAAGAAGATTGACTATAAACGAAGCTGTTTTTAAGATAATTGCAAAAACGCAAAGTTGATTGTTATAGCGCCACCATGAGGTCTATGAGGGCGAGTAGTGGGTGGAATTTGCAACCTACGTGCCAATTTTGGTGAGTTTTCGTCCAGCAGTTTTTGGTGCCCAAACACTTTTAGCGTAGAAAATGAAGAAAGAAAGTAAGAAAGAAAGAAAGAAGAAGAAAAATCTGAACTAAAACAATAGGGCTCCAGCAACTTTACTGCTTGGATCCCTAAAAAATAGTAACCTCTCAGGTACTGCTGCCTCGTTTGGTTAGTTATTGTGTGACTATTGTGTTTTTAACCTTTTATAACACCAAAGTACCACAATAACAAACAAACAAAAACAACAAAGTCACACAATAACACTAACTAACTGACCGAGGTATCTCCCGTGTTCGGTGAGATAGAATTGCTGTTTTTATCAACAGAGTCTGGTAGCTTTGACAAGAGCAATGTAGTATAGTCCTTCTGGTTAAAGGTCTTTTTTTTTCTTTTTTAAAAAAAGGTCTATCTCTGTAGGGACACAATGTTGTCAGACACTTATAATAACAATCTGGGCCTGTCAGTGGCAAAAAGAAGCAATACAGTGGATATACTTGGACAGGGTGCAATTACCTGCAAAGTTTACATTGCAGCCCTGTTTCGCTGCTGACTGCAGCGCACTTGCTTAATACAGGACCAATTTCAAAAAATGGAAAAATCCAGAAGCTACCCTTTAACATTCCTTCAGCCAGAGAGGAATACTTATCCAGTACCCCTGCTCTCATTTTTTGTTGGAAGAAAACCTGCATACAATCAACTTTCTATGGCATATGCATAAAGAACACCACCATAAGCATCCTGCAAGCTGCCTACCAGATCTGAATGATCTGTATGAATGTGCCAAAAAGGTTGTAATACTGTATTCGGCAGTGTTGTGTTTCTGCTTAGAGCTATGACTGCACTCCAGGAATAACACTCCACTAAGCATCAAAGAAGATGCCATAAAAAATCTGATAATATAATTAATAAATAAGATGTTTACTAAAATTTGCTACTGTCAAGTATTGGTAGACTTCGTGGAGACGTGGTATAAAGCATAGTTTCTAACCCAATTGTGCTCCAAGTCAAGTGTCATACAGTACTGTGGACAAATACCCTAGACATATACCTGAGCTGTTGGATACACAGCATCTACCTGCAGCAGAGCATCAGGGGGTAAATCCATAGAGCTCCGAGTCTCCACTGACTCCATCCTCCGGTGTCGGGGCCCTCTTTGCGACTTGGACATGGAGTCCGTCCTGGCCAGAGAGGCGTCATCTTCCTCCATCAACCCACCTCCTCCTTCTCCTCCACCTTCCCCCTCTTCCGAGCTGGAGCCACCCTCCCCGGAAAGGAGAGACCGTCGTTCCCCAGACTGCCGCTTCTGCCTTTTGAGTGACGGGGCGCGACCCAGGCTGTTCCAGCTGGAACGACGGCTGGTCCAGCCACTGCCAGAGTTCCATGGGGCACAGGGGGAAGTGCTCCGTGCACTGGTCTGGAGCAGCGTGATAAAAAGCAGGAGAGAGAAAAATAATACAAGAGGGACAGTATGTAAAAGTTTTGGTCTTATATCTTAGCACTCTGGGCATGTAGTTCCTTTGTGCAAACAAACCAAATTGGATTGACTCGGCTTGACGTGAGCCGAATTGAATAGAGATTCATGCTAATAGACAGACAGGAGCAGATGTAGAGTGGGCTTATTTTCTCAGGTGGTTAACCTGGTCATCAGTTTGTCAAAAAAAAAAAAAAGAGTGGCAGTGGCAGCAGTAAGTCAGACCAGGCTCGGCACATTCATCATCATCATCTATCATTATGACCTCCACATATCAGCAGGACACATACAGTGAATTCAGAGAGACACTCAGGGAAAAGCCTGGTGGCGGTGGGGCCTGGAGGTATAATTTCTTGCACTCACCCCCATTCACATGTATTAATCTTGGCTTTCTGACATCCTGAAACAGGGTTATTACACGTTAAAACTGCCACATATTGTGTGTATGTGAGAGTATTAATATACAAACCGGTGATTTGTCATAGCAGGCTGGGTCTATGGAGACGTTGCTGCCTCGACGGGACTCGTAGCCCACGATGGGGTCACCACAGACCGGCAACTTGGGGATGGGCATGGGGGTGGCAGCCGTGTGGGTAATTAAAGGTGGAGTCAGGCTGGTCTTCAGGTCCACGTGGCCATTTACAGGCACTACTATTAAAGGAAAAGAGGGATGAAGAAAATAAAATTTTGTGAGTTTGGAGTGGGTAAGAGGTTGAGTGTTAGGGAGGACTAAAGATGACCAGGGTTTACGGTAAAGGAGAAAATGAATGCATTGAAAAGGAAGCGACGTAGGTGAGAGATAGAGGGGACAGAACAAAGTCGATGAAAAAAGCATCATAGAGGAGAATGAAAGTGCTAAATTCAATAAAAACAGGAGGAAGAGCAGGAAGAGGTGGTGCATGGGGAGGAGCGCCACAGGGGTACACCCTCAGTAACGCAGCACAGCATACTTAAAAATGGATGCCTCAACCTGTTATTGAGCGACATGAATATTTCAGCAGGGCATTAATCTTATGAGATGCGTGGGAGAGAATATTATGTTTGGCAGCAACACAAATAACGCTAATTCCTCCTTCTTCCAACCTTTATCCAAGGCCTGGAAGATGTATATTAGGCTCCTCCAGCTATATAAGCAGTTTTATACAGAGCATCTGAAGAGGCTGAAGAGAGATGATACCGTACGCCTGGGAGTTGTGCTCCATAGTGTTTTCTTTGGGCTTTTCAGTCTGCACGAACAGTAATTAGAGGGGATGGGAACTGGCATACGAGGTATTATGGATGAAGCTACTGTACTGGCCTGATGCTGTGCAGGGAGACAGCCAGGCACGTGCCCACTGAGTGTGGTCAGAAACCAACAGGGGAAAAGAGTGAGAACAGGAGACCACAGACATGTAACAGGTGGGGGGATGTTTGTAAAGGGAATACTTTAAATGCCTTCGCCCTAACTTGCTGTTGTATCACAAATGTTTTACATACATTTATTAAGAAACACATATGTAATCTACAGGGATCAAATAAAGATTTAGCAGCAGTTAACTGTGCAAACAAGCAGAGTCTGTCGTTTGTATACATATGTAGTTTATGTGCATGCCTCACCTGCAGAGGCTGATAAATCCTTCTTGCTGCCGTTGACATCCTCCATACTTCGTGCGCAGGAATCGATCTCCGAACCCGATTTAGAAGCATCACCCTTGACACACAAAAGCACACAGCGTGTTTGAGGAACACACCTGTGAAAAGCCCTGTTTCTAAGTAGAGTTAACAGGAAGCAGGTGGGTTGAAGTTGCCTCTAAACACCGATCCCTGCATAGCTGGATCTCAGTCCTAGTGTCACATCAGTCCTTGTTCAGATCTGACCGTGGATCAGTCACTAGAGGCAACCTCCCTCTTGTAAGCAGACAGGTGAGGGTGTGGTCTCCCTGATTCCAGTGTTCAAAGGTCAAAGGATACAGAGAAATGGTGAGTAATTTTAACTGTGTAAAGTGTTGTCATGCATGGAGAGTGAGAAGGTTCATAGAGAAACCACACTGAAACCCAATCAGGAAAATGCAACAAGGCACTTTACCAAAAGAACCTGGGCAATATATCGAGTCCACTTTGTTGGAGAAAAACGCATTGGCCGCATGGCAATTGCCTTTACTCACCGTGACCCATAAACAGCTAAAAAAGAGCTTCAGTGTGGTTGCTAGATCTACAGTTTTCACACTTGCACACAAACACACAAGACACCCCACTTCCTTGTGGTGTAAGGCAATCTGTAAATCAGCAACCCAGTTTAACTTTTGTCAGAGCAGCAGAACTGTTTGTGGCTTGTTTTGTTCTCTATCATTGTTCCAGACAGTGACTACCTCACATTTACACCTTTCTACTCCTTCTTACTATCTTTCACAGACTTTTCTTAAGCTCTTAATTACTCGTTACTTGTTTTATATTCTGCGCTTCACACTGCCTTCCACTTGCAAACCTACTGCAGTGAGCCTCAGAGTTCTTGCTTGTATTTGTTGCACTACACCAGAGCCTTCAAGACTGCATTAATATGTGTGAGGGTGCCAGGTGGATGCTGGATTAATAGAATGCCGACCCAGTGAGTCAGACCTCTGTGGTAGCAGAGTGAGTAAACTGCGTGCAGAAAAGCCTCAGGACCTAATCACCATGCACCTCCTTTTAAACTAACAAATTACTTTCTTGATACTTCCCATAAGTGAGAGAGAAAGGCAAAGTGGGTGTGGACATACTGCATTTTATATTTGTTTACTTCAGGCGAGTTGGGTCTGGTATCTGTGAGGCAGCAATTTGCATTTTTTCTTTTCTTTTTTGTGTGTCCCAGGCTGATTTCCCCCGACCTGTTAGGTGTGGGAAAATTATGAAAAGGCCAATCAAGTCAAGAAGCTACTTGGAGACCGATGTGGTCGCCATGCTCATGACATTCCTGCATTCTACTTATTTATCACAGTAGCTCGTTCCTATTGAACAAGCCTCTCGTTCCTATTTAAAAATGTCTCACAGGATGAAGCCAACTGACTTTGGTGATCACCTGACTTTTCCTCTAGCACCATCATCAAGTCAAATTTGTTCATTTGTCCAATAATTTGGTTTATGACCCAATACCTGCAGAACTAATGACAGTCCCAGCGGCATCGACTGTACTTTCTGTAAATTAGAATGTGTTAGTATGCTAACATGCTAAACTAAAATGGTGAACACTGTAAACATTCTAGCTGCTTAACATCAGCACGTTAGCATTGTCATTGTGGGCTTGTTAGAATGCTGTTAGCATTTTAGCTCAAAGCACCACTGTTCCTTGGTACAGCTTTATAGAGCTGCTAGCATGGCTATAAAATCTTAGTTCTGTTCCTTGATGCATGTTTAATGTCAATGTTATGTCAAGTGCCATATTGTATAACTGACTAGTTGTTTCAGCACAAATCACTTTTTTTTGTTAAACCTTTTGGATGAGAAACGCCTTCAGGAATCTAAAGCCTGTTCAATTGCCTTTGACTTAGAACTTCTAGATATAGCATGACCTGAATGACGGAGAATCTTATCAGACATTATTGTTATTATGGTAATTCATATAATCATTATGAAGTATAATTTTTCAGATACTTGCCTGTATGTATATCTAAATGTTTAGCTTTTTTAGTTTAGCTTTTCTTGTTTTAGCTATTTGTTACATGTATGTTCCTGTACATTAGCTCTTGGCACTATGTGTACGTACAAGAGCTATTGAAAGCCAGAGTCAACTTTGTCACCTTCTACATACTCAGCCAATAAAGCGGAATCAGATTCTAAAGGAGTAGAATTCAGACAACCAGGCCTAACCTGTCTTTAGCTATAATTTTATAAATGTTTGGGCACAAAAGATTGTACTGCATTCAAATGTTCACGCATCCACCATCACGCAGACATACTGTTTATCAAACACACAGCCCACACCCTCTACAATTTATCACCAGACACGAATAAAAAAATAACAGTTTTAAGCACAGCAGGAGCCCCTCTCCCACAGGGCTCATCAACCCACACGCAATCACTCAGAAAGGACAGCTGTGATAGGACAAACCCTGTGGAGCATCAGCAATAAGCATTGTGGGTGCTCAACCTTAAAGTATCTCCTCTCCCTCTGTCTTTATTTCGGGGGGGGGGGGTGCTTTTGGTCTTGGTTTTTTTTCCTGCTGAGCGGTGGTCAGTTAGGAGCTTGTACCTGCGGTAGCTTCTGGTCAGTGGAAAGGTCAGTGTGACAGAGTGGATGTGTACTCACACAAACATCAAAGCTAGGCCAGGGGCTTTGTTGTGAGGATCTTGTAGTATAAGCATAGAGACCAGACCTGACACGCCCAGATGAGGAGTGACGGGACAACCAGACTGTCATATCTCCTTTCTGAAGCACACAGATAAAACAGCTGGCTTTAAGGAATTGACCCAGGTTTTGAAAAATTGACAGGTTCAACAAGAGACGCAAAAATCTTCATCATCATCCATGTGTGCTCCGCAGGTTGCGTGCTGTGGTTATCCCTGCTAAGGACTGTTATATACTATATAACGGATCTGTCAAACATTGCAGAGGGCATTGTAGGTGTGTTCAGACAAAACAAAAAGGTGAATTTTAGAGGCAGTGTGACTGCATATATATCAGTAAAAAGATGCAAGCAGCCATGAATTTGCATGAATTTGCCCGCCACGGCACGAACGGAGGTCTAGGCACCCGTGCAAGTTGAAAATTAAAAAAAAGTGCGCTTATCCTGGGGCTTTAATCTAGCATTATTTCATAAACGTACAGACAAGAAAGGAAAAAGGAGTGAGACTGGAGGAAACCTACAACACAGAAACACTGGCTGAGCACACACATTACTGGCTAGCTTACATCCAACATCAGTACAGTTGGTACATTGGCAGTAGCAAATAAACACAGACTATCTAGTGGTAAAATTCGCACAAGTTTAAAAAAAGCATAAATTTGCTTTGCTTTCTGTCTGAACGCACCTTACAGAGTGAATCTCCAGAATTTGTAGCGTGATGCTAATTTGCTGGCAGGGCCATTGAATGAAAACTGCTGCTTAATATGAGACAAGCAATATTGCTTGTTGTGACTCTACATCTCGGCTATATGTCTATAAGATTCTCAGTCATCCAGGTCATAGTTATCCAACGAAGGTTAAAGTCAAGGGCAACTGGACTTGGTTGAAGATACTGGAAGACGTTTCGTCCCTCATCCAAAGGACTTCTTCAGCTCTGACTGACTGGCAGGGAAACTCAGCTATTTAACCTCAGTGGGGTCGTTGGCCCCGGGTCATCGATACTGCTGGTTCGTTAGTGTTCCTTGTTGCTGTGACGACAGTCGTTACAGTCGTTAAGACTACCGGTGGCCAAGACTGAACGACCATCGTTGGTATCTTCACCTGAGGCCAATAGCTTATGTTTGTTGAGTATCCTGGGAAGTGATGAAAAGACAGCATTGTAAGTGGGGGATAAGTGGTGGCGTAGACCCCCTCCTCTGTTCAATGACAGCTTCTCGACACGGGTGTAAATGGCAGGCTCCTGTCCTCTTCAATGTGTACAGCGCAGTCCAGGAAGGCCAAACTGTTGTTGTGAACATCTTCTCGTGTGAACTTGATATTACCTCAGGTCAAGACTCTGCAGTTTACTTACATCTGCAGCACAGAGGACACTCGTTTGAGGACTAACGACCATAACGACTGTTGTTACAGCAACCAGGAACAATCCTGGAAAATGACCCCACAGAGGGATCTCGGCTATACTAACTTAATGATTCCCGTAAGGAAACTTGTTATGACTACTGTTTCCTCCAGTCTGGCCTAATCTATCTACAGGTCGTAGTAGCAGGTCAAGACAGACAGAGTAGTTTAAACTGTACAATTCTGACAGATCATGTCAAAAGATCGAGGTCACCTAAGATCCGCTGTGCCCTAATCCGCTGACAGTGCACAGTGCAATTTCGGAACCCACAGTCAACTGGCAGCTGAGGTGAAGAGCAAAAGTCGGTGAAACTACCTCACACTGTGAGGGAGAGATTAATCCAGCTCAGACCTGATTTCCATCTCTTTCTCTCTGTTGCAATTCTCTGTATTTCTTTTTCTCTTCTTTACCCTTTCCCTCTCAAGTACATTATGTACAACTTCTTCACAGGCAGACATTAATTCGTATCTCAGCTGTCAGAGAGCGAATCCTCAAAAAAAAAATGATCCAGCCCGAGTGAATTAAAAATTTCCCTACACAAAAAATACATTAAATTTTTTTCCCCAGATTAATGCATCTCAGGAGGAGCAGGTATTAAATATGACTGGCAGGAGGAGCAAACAACAGAGACGCACCTTTTGGTTTTCATACTTGTCTGGGGGAGGGAGGAGATGTTAACCGGATTATATTTCTGACTGCGCATTTGGCATGTACCTTTAACTGGACAAACAAAAGGTGGAGATGATAGCTTTGGAGCAGAGGGGGGACTGGACTCAAGGGAAATCCCTGGTTCCCAAATAGCTGGTGTTATTTGGATAGCTTGTTTGCACTCTGCCACCTCAATTTGAGGATGGTGGTGGGAGCAGGAGATGGGCCAGACCAAGCCTGCTGCTGATAGCCGGACAATAATAGACACCACCAGCACACACAGGAATCTTAATCACATCGCTTTGAAACGGGTGTAAATGGGAGACGGAAAGGTGGATGCTGATATGAGGTAATTGTGTGTCCACCAAAATTATATCCTACCACAGCTGCATTTGAGATTCATCAGCTCAGAATTGGACCAGATACCTTTGATGTAGAAGCAAACCTCTAAACTTGCACCATGGCATTAATGACATCCACAGCAAATACATGTATGGAAGTCAATAGATGCCAATATTTAATGAAATCATTTTATGAAATTGCAATTTTCCATCTGTTTGCTTTGGTCAGTATGTGACATTATTTGAAATTATACAGGACCAGCAAGGTTATAACAATTCAATCTGAGGAAGACATGAATCTCTGTATCAAATTGTTTGGCAATCCATCCAATTATTGTTAATCTATTTTAGTCTGGACAAAGTTGTGGACTGACCGACCTACAACGTCATCCAAGGCCAGCCAGGCCGCAAGCTAATAAATGCACAGTTACTGCCAAAATGAAAATCAGATGAAAACTCCATTTGCAAATCATTTTCAGTATAGCATAATACTACCATAATTAAAGTGAAATTAAATGATAAATTGACTTTTCATTTGGCCGATCATTTTCACCCTACACTTGAAAATAAAATGCAAATTAAATTTTAGTCAAATGTCTGTTTGTTTATATTATTTCATTTAAATATTTATATAAATATAATTTGGCATCCGTGGACTTCCTACTAAATACAATATATAAAAAATATACAGTGTACAGTCAGTTATAAGAGGCAAAACAGAGAATACAACTAAAACAACAGGTTTAACCATTAGACCAGCCAGAAGACTCCACTCAAAACCCAATTTCAAGCTCAGGTCCCCAGTGGGCGACTGTATTTCAAGAAGATAAAAAAAGAACTCAGAACAATATGGAATATTTGCTCATTGAAAAACTCCTGTAAAATCAGGACAAGACTTACAACTATCTCTTTTTCAAAGTACTAATTTCACAGAGTGTACTGGCCTTGCATTAGGAGTCTGAGTCATGCAAACAGAGTCGATCTCCCCTCTCTCTTTATTAGCTCTCATCCTCTAGTCTGGCTGGATTTATTTGGCTGTGCTGGGGCCTCCCACCCCGGCACCCCTCCTCATCCCCCTCTCTTCTTCACTTCATCTCTATCCTCCAGCCAGATAAAACACAGACGGAGAGAGGGAGATTTTTGGCAGCGCCAGTGCGGCGTTCTTACCCCGAGGCTGGAAAGAAAAAAGAGAGGGGTGGAGGGCTGGTGGGAGGTGAGCATTCAATCTGAGTTTGATGTGGAGTCTGCTTTTAAAAGAACAAGAAGAGAAAGAAAACACATAGAGAAAAATGATGCAAGTGTTTAAGCACTTTGTTGTCTTTCCTAAATTCACTCACTGCCCCGGGTTAGTTTCAGAAGCTGGGGCATCATGCAGGAAGCAGGTTAGAGGACTTTGAGATAATGTGACACATTCTCTGGTAGCCATGTTGGAGGTCCTGTGCTTTTGGAAACAAAGGTGAATTGCATTTCTGCATTTTAGATAGAGATGGTTGTTTCATAGTGAAACAACTAGTCACACTTCAATATCACTGTACTGTTTACATTATTTCATTTAAGGTTAATTGTTATGACGTTTTACATGTGTTATGTAAAATGTTAAGTTCTTTCTGGATTGTTGGATTAAGTAAATTGCATAATTACCGAACATTCATTTCCATTTACCCCAATTGGTTTTGAGCAAGGATGGTTCAAAAGAGGTTTTGAGATTTTAATTGCTGAGACTTGTACCTTACTGGTTTTAAATAGTTGTCACTGAGCCAATCTATGGATTGGTTTCTGTTTTTTTATATTTTGTCATTTTCTGATTTTATATATTATATATAAATACAAATCATCTCCTCCTGTAATATGTTTGCACACCACAAATCTGGAGTAATGCACATGTATATAACTGCTACATTGTTTTTTCTTTACACATAGTTCTGTTATATTTATATGTTTTTTTTACATTTATTTATGTCTGCTGTATGTTTGTCTATGTCCAGCGCCAAATCACCGTAGCACATTCCTTATACGTTTAAAATAGCAATAAAGCTCTTTCTGATTGTGATTCTGATGTTGGATTTTGGTCGTAAACATTGATTCTGCAAAATCATGCTTATTTTCATTAGTTGGCTCTAAATACTATTATACCTGTTTGCCCTCTGCAGCTGTTCTCTTGGAGAAAAAGCCACTGGTTGTTGCAATTGGCAACAAAGTGCCATAGTTGGTAAATAAATTCAAAGTTGACCCTGATTCAAAAAGTGGACTGACTTAAACTGCTAAATACACTGCTCAAAAAAAATAAAGGGAACACTTAATCAACACAATGTAACTCCAAGTCAATCACAATCCTATGAAATCAAACTGTCCACTTAGGAAGCAACACTGATTGACAATCAATTTCACATGCTGTTGTGCAAATGGAATAGACAACAGGTGGAAATTATAGGCAATTACAACCCACACAAGTGGCTCATGTAGTGCAGCTCATCCAGGATGGCACATCAATGTGAGCTGTGGCAAGAAGGTTTGCTGTGTCTGTCAGCGTAGTGTCCAGAGCATGGAGGCGCTACCAGGAGACAGGCCAGTACATCAGGAGACGTGGAGGAGGCCGTAGGAGGGCAACAACCCAGCAGCAGGACCGCTACCTCCGCCTTTGTGCAAGGAGGAGCAGGAGGAGCACTGCCAGAGCCCTGCAAAATGACCTCCAGCAGGCCACAAATGTGCATGTGTCTGCTTAAACGATCAGAAACAGACTCCCATGAGGGTGGTATGAGGGCCCGACGTCCACAGGTGGGGGTTGTGCTTACAGCCCAACACCGTGCAGGACGTTTGGCATTTGCCAGAGAACACCAAGATTGGCAAATTCACCACTGGCGCCCTGTGCTCTTCACAGATGAAAGCAGGTTCACACTGAGCACATGTAACAGACGTGACAGAGTCTGGAGACGCCGTGGAGAACGTTCTGCTGCCTGCAACATCCTCCAGCATGACTGGTTTGGCGGTGGGTCAGTAATGGTGTGGGGTGGCATTTCTTTGGGGGGCCGCACAGCCCTCCATGTGCTCGCCAGAGGTAGCCTGACTGCCATTAGGTACCGAGATGAGATCCTCAGACCCCTTGTGAGACCATATGCTGGTGCGGTTGGCCCTGGGTTCCTCCTAATGCAACACAATGCTAGACCTCATGTGGCTGGAGTGTGTCAGCAGTTCCTGCAAGAGGAAGGCATTGATGCTATGGACTGGCCCGCCCGTTCCCCAGACCTGAATCCAATTGAGCACATCTGGGACATCATGTCTCGCTCCATCCACCAACGCCACGTTGCACCACAGACTGTCCAGGGGTTGGCGGATGCTTTAGTCCAGGTCTGGGAGGAGATCCCTCAGGAGACCATCCTCCACCCTCATCAGGAGCATGCCCAGGCGTTGTAGGTCATACAGGCACGTGGAGGCCACACTCACTACTGAGCCTCATTTTGACTTGTTTTAAGGACATTAAATCAAAGTTGGATCGGCCTGTAGTGTGGTTTTCCTCTTTGATTTTGAGTGTGACTCCAAATCCAGACCTCCATGGGTTGATAAATTTGATTTCCATTGATAATGTTTGTGTGATTTTGTTGTCAGCACCTTCAACTATGTAAAGAAAGGAGTATTTAATGAGATTATTTCATTCATTCAGATATAGGATGTGTTATTTTAGTGTTCCCTTTATTTTTCTGAGCAGTGTATATTGGTTTCTACAGAGCGTAATCTTTAGCTTCTGATTGCTGTTAGAGGGACACTCAAAGAATGTGAAGCTCCATAATAGGATGGTCACCAAAATACTTGTTTAGGGTTGTAGCTGACTTGTCTCATTGCATATTTATGTACACACCCTTGTACCTTTTTCTTGTTCTGTCTCTCAGTACTCTGAATTGGGTTAGTAGCAAGACATCCAGCCGCAAAGATCTCAAAACTTCTGTAAATAAAATGAATACTATACACATGGCACAATATCACTAATGGCAAATTTAAAAATACAGTTTTGGTAATTTGGGAAAAGTGTCCCTTTAAGACACTGGACGCTAGCATAAGCTTGGAATTTATTATCTACATTAGTTTATTGGATATATTATCTAGCTGGCTTGTTAATCAGCCAAAATGAAGCACAAAAGACTAGAAAACTGACGTACATAACTTTGTGTAAGCCTGCAAATTTTGTATATTCAGCCAATAATGAGAAGAATGCAACCTCCAAGCTGTGGCTGTTGAGAGATGTTACACATAACTGCAAGCCTCTATGGGGAAGGATAAGGAGAACGAGTGGAGAGGGAGGGCAGAGGGGAGGATGAAGGAGGGCCGTTAGTCAATAAATGGAGGGAGGGAAGGCAGAGCTGCAGTGCTTTACATACCCCTGAGTCTACAGGCAGCTGAATTAGGCTCAGCTGGGCATGCAAGTCCTCCCGCTTGGACACTTCCTATAGTGGAAGTGATCGGTGCAGCCGGACAGGAGAGGGAGGCGCACATAGGAAAAGAGGCACAGAGGTGAGAGGTGGAACCACAGCAATAGACAAGAGCAAAAGGAGAGAGTTAAATCTTGACTTTACCATGCAACAGAGCATATCAAAGCAACTGTCCTGGATCACAGTGTGCAGCCATGTGCTGCGCATGTGTATTTCAGCAACTTGAATTTGTTGAAAGCATGAAAAGTCAGGACAGGAAAGAACAGGAAGTGAACAACACAGCCATGTTTTACCCTCCAGTTGGTCTATTGATGTTTTGTATGAAAATCATTCAGTCAGAAAGCAGTAATGGAAATGATCTCAACATTAAAATGTAATGACACTGCAGTATAGCTGTGCATCGTTCAGGACACATTGTGCATATTGAGCACTGAAGCATTCCATCCTATGCAGCTGACTTGTCATACATATGTGTGCTTCGCTGTGAACTGTGCATGTTTGCATATGTGTGAAATGTAAGTTTCTTGTCAGAGTGGGAGATGTAATGAAAAAGAAAAACTTTTGTCTCTAAATAGGTATCCATAAAGAAACAGATCGGTCTGGTTGCACTCTCTGCAGTGAATATTAGGTTCTGTCACAAACTGACAGAGAGACACAATGAGAGAAAGTGATGGATAATAGGAGAGTATAAAGAGGATGGAGGAAGGCGTAGAATCATGAATGTAAAACCAGGCAAAAGAGGACTCTAAAAAAATAACACAATAAGCAATATGGACATTAGAAGTAATACATTTCTTTTTGTGTGGCTGTTTGTGTCTTGGCTCCACATCCCAACATCTCTCCTGGCTTAGCTCACGTCGTTCAAGCGCCCGTTACCTAGCAACCCTGACGCAGGGAAAGTTTGGCCGACTAAAAATAAACTTAGTGCTTGCAGAAAAGGATGTTAAGTTGAAAAAGGAGAGGGAGAACAAAGCCGACAGCCATGTGATGATACAGGCGAGCAGAGGGGGAGAACAGCACACGAGTTAATAGACCTTAGGGCTTTCTACATTTGGTTGTGTGTGTGTGTGAGAGTGTGTACACGCTTGTGTTTTTGAAGATTTCTCTCTCTTTCCTTCCATAGCACTCAGCAGAAGCAAAACTTAAACAAAGCCAGTACAAACATTTAAACTAAAATTTCAAATCTTCTCAATGTGTTGCATTTTTTAGTAACTCGAATGATATTGTAGGAATTGTGCCCGCATATCATTGGCTCTTAACATCTGGGGAGACCCATTGTTCTGTTAAACTTGAAATAACTCACTTTGGTCACTTCAGGCAGCGCAACACATTATCACCTTTTAGGTGATGTGGCAAATTTGTTAGCAAACTAGTCTATGAGCAACATTAGCATTCATTTGAAGATGTGTTTCTGTCCACCTGACAAAGTCCAACAGTCACTTTCCTAATAGCTCTGTTTTTCCCGAGGGAAATATTTTCCTCTTTAGCTGCTAAATGGTCCGATATATTCACCAGCTAGTTGTTAATTAATCTATATGCAGCTTGGAAGGAAGGGTGCAGTAGGTTTTTTGGACTTTTTTTGTTAAAAACAGCTCGCTGCTGCAGAGCTGAGAGGAACTCCAGGGTCACACAATAATTCTTGGGTTCTTGTAACACACAAGCAGTCATGCGATCTAAGGCTAATACAAAAATATTTATTAGAGCTGCTTTTTTGTTTAGTTTGTTATTCACAGGGAAGGTGGTAGCTAGTTAACCTAGGTTACCAATGTTAACAGTGTTTGCTACTAGTCTTTTTGTTCACATCCTTTTAAAACCTACTGAGTCAGCTCCTGCACACTCCAAATAGTCATTTAACCGCAGCAGTTGTTAACCAGTGTGGAGTACCTTAGGGAATAACGAGAGAGCTGAAATCACAGAAGCAACAGCTAACAACGTTGGCACTCAAGTTGGTTAACTGCCCATGTGGGCCTTGGAATTTAAGTCTCCATCCACACAGATACTACACCAATCAAATTATAGTACGATATTGTCAACACTAATGAAAGGGGTGCTGTCACAGCAGAAAGCTTTAATTTCTTCCTTTTGATATTTACAATTTTGACCAATAAATTCTTAAAAATCTCATCTTACTTTCAGTTTGACTTTAAGAAGTCTGTTGAATTCTGGATTTGTTTGAAACTTTAAGAAGTCTGTTGAATTCTTAAAGTTTCAAACAAATCCAGTCTTGGTCTGCACGGAAACCATTCATCTTAAGCAGCTTTGGTCAGTGTCTCCCACCTCCAATAGGGTCCCATAGTCACCATATTCATACACTTGATATTTGTACAGCAGATAAGTGCAAGAGCAGGAGAAGCCCATTCCAATTAATCCATATTTTATGAGGCTGTCAACCTCTCTCTCTGCCACCCCACATCTATTCTCTCTCCCCTTATCCAAGGAGCCAAAGAGCCAGTGATCAAAGCCTAGTTGCTGTCACCCCTTAAAGAAAGAGAGAGAGTAGGAGACAAGTAGACAGCTAGAGAAAGGCTGAATACTCGTATGATTTACTTTCTCCATCTCATCTCACCCTCTATTCTTTTCGCTCTGTCTGTCTCAAATAAAGCCTGTATGCTCCAAATGGGCTGGCTGAAAAGTGAAAAGAGGGCGCTCAACAGAGACGAGTTAAGTGAAAGAGACACGACACTTAAAGAATTCTGTGGGGAAAGCCAGTAACGCCAAAGATGGTGGTTGTACGCACATATCCCGCCCATCCTGCAAAAAAGCCAATCATCTGCTTTTTAACAGTCGAGCCAGGAAACACATTAAGCCAATCGTGAGGTTCCACTGACGTAAGTGCATAGTTGAGGTTTTCAACAGTTTCACATGTTGTGCTGGCAGCGAGGAGCAGGTGTGTGACCAGATCAGATGCACGTCTGCCAAAATACTGTGTGAAAAGGCACCAGATTTGAAATGCAGTACTTGCAATATGTGTAAGAAAATACTGGAATGCCTTCTAGACATGTATATGGTATAAGCTGACTGTATCCATAACGTCAATTAGCATATCATTTGTGCAAGCACTCTGGTGAGATGAGCTCATAGCGTCATGAGCTCGTGGCGTCATGTCACCAGCAGTCTGGATAGAGCTGTAAATGAAGTCGGTGTCATGACACCATGACTTGCGTAATAGAAGTATAACCTGTGGGGAAAAACCCTTTTACATATTATTTTGGGGGACAGTCATTAAACTTTTCTAGTGTTTTTTTAAATCACATTTTACTGGTGATTCTATACATGCAGTTTTTATGTCCCGGTGACCATTGAAAGTGCAGTTATGGCTTTCTCCCCATTAATTTAGATAGAGGCCTGATCTTGTTACTCCGATAAGATAAGAGAGTGGCGGGACATGCCCAAAGACTTTAGCGCTCAATGAGTTTCAACCTGTAGACCCGAAAATGTTCCAGCAGACAGTTTTTCCCAGCTGCTGTCTCTTAACAATCCACTTTCTTCACTTTTTGCTGTGTATTTCTCTTATCTGACTTCTCTGAATCACCAACGGTACAGTGGTGGATAACATATCACTTTTGTTTTATGACATACTAAGAGTTGTACTAAAGACGGGAAAGGTCAGGGAGGCATGAAAAGGAGGTATACGAGAATGAGACGAATCAATCGGGATGAGGTATGATGTTTGCTGATGCACAGTCTAGTCTAGCAGACATAGTTTTCTTATGATGTACTTTATAGCATGACTGTATTGGCAAATAATCAGAACAATAATGAGGATGACTGCTGAGAGAGTCAGAAAGAGTGGGAGGAGAAGGGGCTGACAGAGAGATAAAGATGAAGAGAAGAGGAAAATGAAACACCGCATCTAGTGTGAGCTCATGTCCTCTCATAACCCACTGCAGAGAGTGCATGAAAAGGTATAGGTTAATGTCTACAGTGTTAATGAATTTCTTATTTACGTGTGGGCATGAACATCCATCCATTAGTGTTACGTGTGCCTGCGCTGAAAAATAAGCACCTAATTTTGCCCCATGTTTCAGTCTCAAAACCTAATTTTTCAGTAAAACTAGCAGGGCAGAATAATGTTAGGAATATAATAACACTAGTTTCCAAAGCACTTTTACCCTCTACAGAAATTATTCGTGTTAAGACCTGGAAGCAAGCCAGATCACTGTGCAAGATTCAACAAGTTGACCTGCATGAAGATAAACAATCTTATTCCAGTGGCAGATTTCTTTCATATGAGTACAGGAGAAGAGGATTTTAAAACTGAATTTCAGACAAAATAGCTCAATAATTTAAGCTGGGTGGTGTTTCTATGGTAGATTTGCATTAGTTAGTTTTGTGCGTGTGTGATCAGCAACATTATACCTCAGTCTGGAAACCCTCGACCAAGATGGCCACCAGCAAGTTGAAGAGGACGTAATTGCCAAAGGTCATGAGCGCGATGAAGTAGAGGGCAGCTACGGGAGAGGTGGATGCCATGCCATTATATAACACTTTGTTCCAGTCCTCCTGGGTTAGGATCTGTAGGAGAGGAGAGGGGAAAGTATTTATAGGAAAAAGCATGTCATTGTTCAGTACATGTTCTAGTAGTTCACTCAAATTTGTTTAATTTTTGATCGTTCACTAAACATCATCCCCTTAAGATACTGTTTCTGCACCGGTCAAGCTTTCCGTTCTCGCAAGGCACATATGCCTTTTACATTGCTAACGATGGTAGTTTTACCAGTGGACATCTTTTGAAACAATGGGGTCCTTGATTTCAGCCAGAGGGAGACAAAAACAGGCAACCAGGATTTTATCGGCTAAAATGACAACTGTCGCTAGCAGATTTCATTAGCTGCGGCTAGCTAGCTAGGCTAATGTTAACTCCACAAGTTGGATGAAAAGCTGTCTGATGTTTTGATGTTTCCAGGTGACACGACTTAAAACTGAAAACAATCTTTTCAAACATCTTTGAATCTGCACCGGCTATGTACAAAGTTACCTGTTGCAGGCAAAAAGTTAGCATCCTCACCAGCTGATCCATGTAGACAATAATGATACAGAAAGAAACTGCATTATTGCTGTGTTAGTCCTAGTATTCTAAGTATGAAATTTAAAATCACACTGTTATTTTGACCTAATATAATGCTGTTTGACTGCTAAGCTTACACACTTGTTCTTATTTTCAAATAGTATGTTTTCACCTTTAATTTTATCAGAGAAAATCATTCAGTGAAACCTCTGTGTAATCATGAGAACAAACATGACATTAATGTCCTGTGCAGCGAGACACGCTGACACATTACTTTGCCCCTGATCAGATGTTCTACTATTTAACCTATGACATACTTGGAAATGGAAATTAGATGATTGGGAAAAAATAATAAAAAATAAAAAAAAGATAGATAAAGGCCAGGCAGTTAGGTAGAGGGGATGGGAGGGTAGGATAGTGAAGAGGAATATTAGATTTCATATATTTTATTTATTAAGGAGGAAATTGTCTTTTCGGCCTCTGAATGGGGACAGGTTCAGTCAGCACCAATGAAGCAGGAAGATGTTAAGTTGGCTGCCTGAGGGCATGTCAGCAGGTGCAGTTTGATCACACAGGATGTTTAAGCTTCCAGATGGTAGATGAACTTGCATACCTCTAGGTCATCCTGCTGCTAAATTTTTACTATCTCAACAGACTATGAAGTCAGGCAAAACACTACAGCTAAATTAGCCATAAGACTGTGAATATTGAACAGAGAAAGGGAAAGGGAGAAAGTGTTTATGCTCACCTGGAATACAGTCACTATTGCCCAGAGAAGAGAGTCAAAGTTCTTCCTGTCTGGTAGAGTGTCTCCATCCCTCTCAGACCCAAACTTACAACCAAACAGATGCATACCCAGGATACTGACACACAAGGAGCGGGGGGGAAGGGGAAAACAAACAGGAATCAGAGGAATAAATGTTTACATCAGGCCAACCCATTAGATACAGTACAAATAAACGGAAATTAACATGCTGAAAAGACTTGTTTGACTTGTTTTTGACTGTACCATACTGATTATACCTCCTGCTTGCAAAACAGCTGTGGCAGAATATAATGAACATGAATGGCAATCATGGCCTAGAGGGCCATCATACAAAAGCATAATTAGAAGTATTCACTGAACACTAGTTTTACATCCAAAAAAAGTAGCAAAGATAGCAAAAATATGGGCCTTATGGATCTCTGTCAGTCAGGTAATAATTGGTTCATAAACTGTTAGCCCATAAGAGTGGAAATGGAGTGCTTCTGCCAGGTTGAGTTCAGCACCATGGAGAGCGTCGCAAACCATGGCAATGATGCATGACACTGGCAGACTTTTATTCGAGCACTTCACTTCATCCCTCCAATCTTGCAACTCAACAACAACAAACCACTCATAGCATATACTTGTGTCACAAATAAATGATAAACAGGGTGCATATTTATGAATATTTGTCCATCCACCAGTATTATGTGCATGCATATGCTTATGGAGTGGCTAGTTACGTCCAGTGAAGTCAAGAAGGATTGTCCAGTGCTTCAAAGATACAGATGGTAGACAGTGTGTTTACATCCGCTTGCTGCCATGACAACATAATTTTACCAGCCCTTTTTTGCCTTTTTCAATGTTTGCTACTATCCTTTTAGCTCTTTTTTTGTTTTTTTATTAAAATAACTGACATATCCATCCATTGTCAACCGCTTATCCCGCAACTGACATATCGTTTCATTATTTTAGTGTATTTTACCCTTGTTCTCTGTTTCACTTTGTTGTTTTTATTGTAAAGCACTTTGTTAACTGCTTGAATCTGGCTGGTGACAATACAGGCTATTGTATCAGCTTAGATACTGCTGTGTATGATCAGAATTAGGGATGGGGATTGACACCCGGTTCTAAAAGGATCCGGTTCCAAAATTTCTCAAAACCTGAAAATCAATAAGGTCCGAGCTTATCGATACTGCTATGAAGACTAGTGGGTCCTTTAATGTAACGTTATGTCTAGAGCGTCAAATCTGATTTAACTTGAAACGCGATGCACAAGAAAACTAATATTTTTTAGTGATGGCACCGAAACGTGGTAAACGGGCCCGGGGCTGTCTCGACATTCAATGATGCATCAGGCTGCTGCTCTCTGTCGGCTCCTACATACACACACAGGGGCCAGCAGAGAGAGACACCGCTTCGTCGCGGTGGAGACGGTGAAGTTAAGTTAGCAGTTAGTTCCAAACTACTCGAGTTGCCGACAGCTACGCTCGTTACTGTAAGTGCGTGCAATTAAAGCTTTGCGGGTACATTACTATATCAATACACCTGTGTGTAATGTAATCATGTAGAAAACTGCTCTGTCCTCAGTCTCTTATCCTGTATGTTTTATACAAGCACAGCAACGTTAGCTTGGCAATTAGCCAAATGTTAAAAACAAGCTAAATAGAAAGCTGTCTGTCTGGAGCACAGACTGGTCTGTAGTCTTAAAATTTGCCACATTGTTGTAAACTCAGCTGCTGGCTGAGACATAAACTCAGCTGCTGGCTGAGACAAACCAGCCGCTCCTCCTTCTGCCAGGTAACGTTACCTATGGTAACGTTTATTCTTCCTAAACGTCACTCAGTATAACGATGTCAGACATTGAGTTTATTTGCTGTTGTAAACGTTAACGTTGCTGCTCTAGAAACAACAGTTGTATTTAAAATAATAAATTCTAATCCTATAATTAATTTTAACAACCAGGCAGTTAATATGCAGACTTCAATATTTGTTTATTTATTGCAAGTCATATGTCATCTCAATATATAACAATGTTATTGCACATGCCTTCCTCATGCCTTTGGGTCTGGTCTTACCAAATAACCATCACTAAATAATAGTAAAGTATCAATAGTGGTATCGATAAAGACTCTGATTGTTAAGCAGTCTCAATAATGGTATCAATATCAATAAAAATTAACGATCCCCATCCCTAATCAAAATCATAGCTGTCTGGCCTTGCCTACTGTCCTTGACAACTATCTGTTGGATTAAATTCTTGCTGGGTCCTTTGCATCCCAGGACTAGAGGAGATAGCAGCTATGTGTCACGGGAACCTTTGAGAGGAAAGGAAAAGGAACCTCTGTGGTGGGATGTGATCTGAACCTCCTCACTGACTCATGTTACTTCTTACGAAATGAAAATACCAGTGCAACAGATGGTTTCTTTAAAAGCATATGAAAATGAAGACAGTTCAATTTTCATTTTCTACACAGTATAATCAATTAGAAATGAAAGACCCCTGTCCATACTATAAAATGGTCCTCGAATGCTCACGCATCACTGAATGTTGAGACATCCTTCAGATAGACCTACTATACACCATGTGGTCCTAGTGTTGTAACTGGCATACAATGGTATATGTATTTATTTATATTTTTTTATGAAAAATAAATAGATAAGCTAAGCATGTCTCATCTCCATTTCCCAATTTCCAACTCGGAGTCAGTTTCTAATGCTGTAGGACTCGGGGCCCTGGTCCTCTCCATGAAACTGGACGTGGGTAAAAAAGATCAGATGAGCACCAGAGACATTCTGTGCAGGGTGTTTGCTGAAGAGAAAGCCTGACCTGATGAATGAGTACTTGAGGCGTCTGTCTCTGAACCTGAGGAGCTCAGTAGGAGGACACCCGGAGCATAGACATAACAGTGTTTAAATGACTTGTGATCAAAGTAAGTTGGGTTGCACAGGGGGGTCTACAGCTAACTTTTTGTGCCATGGGGACTTGCTAGTGGGTTTATCTGGCTAACCCCAGTAACTCTACGGATTTTGTTTCACACTAAAAGCCGATATCAATTGTATCAGCTGGAAGACTTTTACTTTGAAGGAGCTGTGGAATTTATCTGCTCTTTGTAGCATTCTAAAATAGCTATAGGCTCTGTTGGAAACGTAAGACAGGTGGCTCGCTACACTGCATCGCTACCGTAATAGACAGGAGCCTCAATCAGAAGGCATCACTTTCGAGTGAAGGTCTCTCTATGAAAATTAGTTCTGAACAGCCTTTTAGGGCAGCATTAACGGCAACATGTGACGTCAGCACGCCGTCTTGCGTCTCTTCCGGCTGTCAGTCACTAGCCTTAGCATCAGCTAGCTAGCTATTGAACAGGCTAATGGCTATCAAATGCCTCCGAAATCTTGATAGGTTACAGTGAAGGGCTAATATGATAGTTCAGTGTTTAGTTCTTGGTTACTTTTCAAAAGTTGAAGCAAAAAACTACTAAAAACTTTTTTTGTAAAATGAATTTCGGCTTGTTTGTCCACCGTCTCGCCCATTTTTTGTGAGCCACAACAACCACACGCAGATTTATGAGTAATAGGCAGCATCAAGCCAGCACTGATGCTGGAGCAAAATGTGCTTTTGAACTCCACCTTGGCGGGTCTGATCTGACTTCTCTGACTGGGAAGTAATGAGTAGGAGAATTTTCTCAGCCCATAATGTAACATTTTCTATTCAAAATCACCACATTTGGAGATACATGGTTTCCACTGGACAGGAAGGGTATGAAAAACAGAAGTTAGTAAATCTGTCAGATAAATGTAGTGGGGTAGAAACTACAATATAAAGTTGCATAAAATAAAAACTACCCCAATTTGCACTTAAGTACAATTTGTACCAATTATATTTTATTATTTTTTTCACCCATTCCAAATATTTTTGGGCAGAAATAATATACTTTTGTGGCTGAATTTATTTTTTTACACTAAAAGCCTCATTCAAAACATTTAAAGTCACTGTCAATCAAAGCTGATCAAACCACGTCCTATTGGTCCTAATGAAGCTGATTAAATTGGATCACATTCATTTTTTGTTAAACTCTTAATTAAGAAGAGTGTTTTTACTTTGATGTTTCTTATTTAGTCATTAATATTTAATGTTATAGAGAAATAATTAATAGTTGAAGCAAAATGTTCTGGGGCTTTAAGGGAAATGACCCATTTTCAAAAGAAACCAAGTTTTACACTCAGCCCTACTCTAACAAATAGGGACACAGTTTTTGATAGGTAGACATTGGAAAGGATTTCATGTTCCCTGCACATTTGCACATATATTATCGACAAAGCCCTGAAAGATCAGTCAGGTGTGTGTTTGCGTGTGCGTTTTAGAATCAGACAAGAGCACATCAGACAACCTCCACACATTAGATTTCGTTGAGCTAAGCCACATGCCTAACCAGGTGGAACGAAGGGTTGCTGACAAAAAGAGTGGATCACTTAGTCTTGTCATCGATCGATCACATTATTCTCTGCTCCTTTCTGCTCCTTGCTTATCATGTTGAAGTTTCTACTGCTACCAATTTACCTTTATTCCACACCTCTGTGCTTTCTATTTCAGCCACAGAAAAGCTTTGTTCTCTATTTCGACTTTCTTCTTCAGCAACAAGAACCAGACAGTTCACCCATTTTTTTTCACATATACAATTATAATTTTTGTAGTGTTAAGACAGGGTGCCAGGTCCCTCACTCTCTCTCCCTGCCTACCTGAAGATGAAGATAAAGAGCATGAGCAGCATGCAGAAGGTGGCCACGTTGTCCATGGTCTTCATCAGGACCACCAGCTGCCTCTGCAGGGCCGGCATGAAACGGACCAGCTTCAGCACCCGCATCAGCCTGAAGGTCCTCAGCACCGACAGGCCGCCACCCTGCTGACCCACGATCTCCCACACACTGTCCAAAGAGAAGAGAGGAGTAAGGTTTTGGTGATGGTCTGACAATAAAGCTGTAAGTTATTATGTTGCTGGGGTTTTGACCTCTTCAAAGAGAGGAGCGACACACAAGAAAACTATATATATATATATATATATATATATATGTTCCAAGGTCTTCAACAATCATGTTTCTTGTCAGCCGACAAATGGAAGTTCAATGTTTGCTATCCTTTTAGCTCAGATCTGGTTTCAACAAACTCTTGAGGGGAAATCTGGCAATATGCACCACCATGTTCACTACGTAGTCAATTACTTTGTCTGTCTGCCATTTAGTGCTATGCAGTTAGTGTACAATGGGTTTATCATGACGGGTTCACTGACTGCTAGGGGTGTAACAGTGCATGTACTCGTACTGTAAATGTGCACTGAATGCAATCTTTAATGTCAAATACAGTGGGGGAAAAAATATTTGATCCCCTGCTGATTTTATACGTTTGCCCACTGACAAAGAAATTATCAATCTATAATTTTAGTGGTAGGTTTATTTGAACAGTGAGAGAAAATCAGAAAAACGCATGTCATAAATGTTATAAATTGATTTGCATTTTAATGAGCGAAATAAGTATTTGACCCCTCTGCAAAACATGACTTAGTACTTGGTGGAAAAACCATTGTTGGCAATCACAGAGGTCAGATGTTTCTTGTAGTTGGCCACCAGGTCCCTCCACAGATTTTCTATGGGATTAAGGTCTGGAGACTGGCTTGGCCACTCCAAGACCTTAATGTGCTTCTTCTTGAGCCATTCCTTTGTTACCTTGGCCGTGTGTTTTGGGTCATTATCCTGCTGGATTACCCATCCACGACCCAGTTTCAATGCCCTGGCTGAGCGAAGGAGGATCTCCCCCAAGATTTGACGGCACATGGCCCCGTCCATCGTCCCTTTGATGCGGTGAAGCTGTCCTGTCGCCTTAGCATAAAAACAAAGCATAATGTTTCCACCTCCATGTTTGATGGTGGGGGGTGGTATTCTTGGGGTCATAGGCAGCATCTTCTCCAAACACAGCGAGCTGAGTTGATGCCAAAGAGCTCGATTTTGGTTTCATCTGACCACAACACTTTGACCCAGTTCGCCTCTGAATCATTTAGATGTTCACTGGCAAACTTCAGACGGGCCTGCACGTGAGCAGGGGGACCTTGCGGGTGCTGCAGGATGTCAGTCCTTCATGGCGTAGTGTGTTACCGATTGTTTTCTTGGTGACTACATTTCCAGCTGCCTTGTAGTTCTGGACTGATTCCTCACCGTTCTCATGATCATTGCAACTCCACGAGGTGAGATCTTGCATGGAGCCCCAGACCGAGGGAGATTGACAGTTCTTTTGTGTTTCTTCCATTTGCCAATAATCGCACCAACCGTTGGTCTTGTAGCCCATTCCAGCTTTGTGTAGGTCTACAATCTTGTCCCTGAGATCCTTGGACAGCTCTTTGGTCTTGGCCATGGTGGAGAGTTTGGAATCTGATTGATTGCTTGCTTCTGTGGACAGGGGTCTTTTATAGAGGTAACAAACGTGATTAGGAGCACTGCCTTTAAGAGTGTGCTCCTAATCTCAGCTCGTTACCTGTATAAAAGATACCTGGGAGGCAGAGATCTTTCTGATTGAGAGGGGGTCAAATACTTATTTCACTCACTAAAATGCAAATCAATTTATAACATTTTTGACAGGCATTTATCTGGATTTTTATGTTGTTATTCTGTCTCTCACTGTTCAAATAAACCTACCACTAAAATTATAGAATGATAATTTCTTTGTCAGTGGGCAAACGTACAAAATCAGCATTGAGTTTCCACATGGACATATTAAGTGGTGGACCAAATCTCCACCTTGCACTTTGAGTGCTACACAAACAGCCCGCTTTAGCCCAGCCGCTCGCTAACTAGCGACTTGAGCATCGTGGCCGTTGGAGAGAAGCCAAAGCTTGAAGACCCTCCCTTACTGTTAAGGTCTCCTGTTTGGGAACACTTCAGTTTCCTAGTGAAATACAACAACGGACAAAAACAAGTCGATACGACGAAAGCAGTGGGCCGACATTTCTCAGTAGTGATCAGGTATGTTTCACACGAATGAGAACGTCACTGCGACAAGGGAAAAAAATCTAAAACGTTGCTTCGGCTTCTAAACAGACTTTAGACTTTGGAAATGTTTTATTATTTTTTTTAATCTGAGCGGCCTTCAAGCTGGGGTTGATAATGCTCATAGACGGTATAAAAGAAGAAGAAGAAGAATGCTGCCCTGTAATCCATATTTATTTATATTTTATATTATATTTTATTATCTATATGTGGTATTGTTTTGAGAATATTTTATTTAGTGGAGAACTTGGTAGTTTTGATGTTTACAAAAGTTCATAATAAACAAGCAGCAATTTAATGTTTGCATTTTTTTTCCTTGCTGTAGCGGAAATATACTGACTTCAAAACTGAGGTACATCCCGAACCGTGATTTTTGTGTACCATTACACCCCTACTGACTGCTACAGCTGGAAATTAAGTTCATGAGAGCCGTGAGAGTGAACCAAAACTGTAAAGTTGGAGGGCTGTAAAACCAAAACAATGAGCTGAAAGATGCTAACATGCTACATAGAGCAGAGGAACTGCAGAGTTGGGGAATAATTCTCTGTGGATTCGTACAAGATTCGTACTACAAGCAACCCTTTTCACATTACCCATTGTCATATGACTAACTGTCAATATAAAAATATTGAGTAGGGCAGCCAATGTTTCTTAGCTCTTATTACAGCATCTCTCATTACTAACACTAACATGTTAAACATTAATGATTAAAACTGCACACTATTTGTAATTAATTACAGAATGTTGGAACTCAAGCAGTAAAGCAGCAAAAGTCAGTAAATAACTGATAACAAATCTATGTTTAAAAATATTTTTTTAATGGTGAATTACCACACTGAACTGGCATTTAAGCATCATAAAAACAAATAAAAAATATGATGAACAGACGAACATAATAATGGGAAAAGGGGATTTTCCCTACTTCATGTGAAGCCCATGCAACTGACAAATGTGGGCTCGTGTTTCCTGTTTTAGTGAGATCTCGTCGTCTGACGTTTACCAATTTAAGAAAAATGAAAAGGCATTATTCTAGAGTTCACCATGTTTACTACAACATTGCAGCGTCGCTCTTTTTTTAGTATATCATTTCAGGGCCTTCTGAAAATCTCTGTTGTCATAAAACCCTGCCCTGCAGCTCACCTGATGACCACGATGATGCCATCGAAGATATTGTAGGGGTTCTTGATGTAGCCAAAAGGCCCATAGACCAAGACCTTCAGCAGCATCTCCAGAGAGAACAGGCTGGTGAACACAATGTTACTGATCTCCAATGCATTGGTCAACTCATCAGGCTGGAGATGAAGACACAGAGAAACAAAGAGAGGGGAGGCGTTAATGCATGAATGTGGCATGTTACACTCTTGTAAAAACCTTGTATTAGCCTTGTTGTCAGCTTAACTGCCAGCACTTTGAAGTTCTTCCAACAGTGCTGGATGTGCATGTATAATCTCTAGTGACAATAAAAGCTGAAAATCACCAGACTGGAGTAGCAAGACATTTATATGACTGCAGCAACAGAACCTGCTGTGTCACAAGGAAATATGCCAATATGACTAAATTCAATTCAAATATGACAAATCTGTCTTTTCACACTCATACAATTCACACACTCAACCTTTATCTCACACCAGGACACACACACACACACACACACACACACAAAGATCCCCATGCTGCTGCTGAATATGCCTGCTCAAAGCTCATCAGAGAATTGGGCTGCCACTCACATCTAGATCAAACAACTGGAGCATTTGAGCATGAGCGTATGGGTGCCAGAAAAAAAACAAAAACAAAGAAAGAGTGAGTGAGAGAGAAAAAACAGGCAACGCAGACAGCCAAGAGAAAGAACACGAGCATAAAAACATAAAAGGCGCGGCACATCCAAATATGACACAGTATGTAAATCAGACATCTATAGAGGGTATCCGTAATGATCGGCGAGGCGAAAAGAGCCGGTGGGAATGCTGTTGTGTGTCTGCAGACTGTGTAAAACCCCATACAAGCTTTGTGGGGTCTTTCATCTCAATGCAATAAACAGTTTACACAATTCCAACATGGTGTCATACACACACATTGCACTGATATAACACAGTGGATTGAAGGTGTAGTTGAGGGCCTGATCTGTGTTTGCATGCTCTCCATCATAAATGTGTAAACCAATGTGTGCATATAATGTGTGTCTGACTGCCTATCTTACAGTCTCAACATCCCTCTGTGTGTGTCTGTGTGTATAAGTAGAGTCATTGTCCCGGCAGAAACATTACCCCGAGGCTGAACCAGGGGGTAATGTAATGTAATGTAAACACAGTGTGCGCCATTAAGCCTGTCCGGTTGGCTGCCACAAATCACTATACAGTATGACTGTTTAAGTAGCGACTACTCAACACTAGCATGGATACACAGAGAAAGGAATACAGAGAGCTGCTATTCACCAGTTGAATAGGAGCTCCTCGAGCTCCATCAACACGTTCTCACCCCCAAAATCGCCACATATGGACAAATGGTCAAGACCCATTGGCGTCACTTTATAACGCACTGGCCCTTTAGCGTCATTGTTCAACACTAAAAGCATGTCGAACATAAATAAATCAAACTTCTGCACTGAGAAGGAGTAAGAGTCATACTGGTCTGATATGTGACGAGCTGGGAGTGGAAACGTGTTTGCTGTATTTTGGCACCAGTTCGTCTGGAGCACTTAAGCCACAGTGACACAGAATCGGTTATTATGAAATAATGTCACTTGTGTTGTTACACTGCTTTAAGGTCATGTGGGAAAATGGTTGCTGCTTTAAAGCAATTAACATTTAAAATGCAATTAAATCAAAGCTTTCATTTTGTACTGTATTTTCTCTGTCTAGACTCAAGAGTTTGACGGTGGACTGTAATTTCTCTTTCAGTAAGGATATATAGTACCCAAAGGAAAAATTCAACATTTGCTCAATCATGGAGAGTTAGATGAGAGGATGGATGGATGTCACTCTCATATCTTGCCATTAAATATGTTGCTAAAGCCCGCAGCTGGCTATCTTACTTAAGCATGGTAGTCAGGCCCGTAACCTCTCGTCATCAGCAAATGATTGTTTTTACACTGGTTTTCTATGAAGGTCATCGCTATAATGACTTATTTATATATTTATAACACGATATAATGCGTCCATAAGCCTTTTTTAACAGTTGTTATAATCACTTACAAACATGCATTAGGCGCTATAGCAAAGTTCATAATGTATTATGACCTTTTGATTTAATGTTTTATAACTAATAGTTATACCAGTTTATGTCAATGTGCAGCAAGAATCTCCGACCATGTTCCATAACACATTATAACCACCGACTCTGCCTCGTTATGAATACACTTTAGTCACCATTTACAATTAGTGATATAAAATGGAATAATAGCTTATAGTAATGTTTAAAGTTATATAGCATGTCTTTGTTTGCTTTAAGTAAAGTGTTAAAATATCTATCCCTGTATAATATATTACAGGTGGACATAATACCATATGAACTAATTATAAGACCTTATAACACGTAATTGTTTGCTTTAAGTAAAGTGACACACATTTTGCGCAGGAAAGCAACTTTTATTTATGTTTCTTCACTTCATGAACAATCTGTATGAATTTTGAACATTTTGCAGTTTAGCACAAAAACACAACATAATTACATCCAGAAAACTCGTTGTCAGGGTGGTGAAAGATCGCTCAAGAGAAGACCTGTTGCCGACCAACATCATGTAAGAAGAGGCTCCGATGTTGTCACAGATGAATGGTGAGCCTGTGGCCAGGCCCTAACAGATGCAGATCCACCAACAGAAAACTTCAATACGAGCGTCTTGACAATGAGTTTGAATCTAACACTTACAAGTCATTGCTTAGTATTAAGTCATTACTCCCATTAGACCAGAATGCAACAGTAGACCCTGAGGCAGAAAAGAGGTCCAGCAACAACCTAATCTTGCACCATAAATGAGAGCCGGAAGCTCAAACTTGAATTTCACTGGCTTGTGATAAATTACCACAATTTTCACTTCTACTTTTAACGAGTTCTCATACTTAAATGACAAACCATGTTGCAACTGCCTTCCACAACGACCTGTACGATTCTGATCTGCTGCAGCTATGGTTGAAGTTACGGTGACTAAAAGCACTTAGTAAAGATCATAGTCACAGTTTAAAGAAACTAGCATTGACTGTTGGTTGGAGACGTGATGGCAATAGCAAGGGTCATACTAAGACAATGGACTGGATAAACCTGCTTTCCTAAAGGCAAGCAGGAGCTGTGGGCCCTTATTGACCTCCTGTTCTACCCACTTTCTCTGCATTGGTCCTGCTTTACAGCCCTTATTTTTTCTACTGATGTTGTGCTTTTCGTGGTAAATATTACCAAACAAATATGCAAAGTTTGCGGCTTGGGATGAATAGAGTTTTTGAATGTAACTGAATTGAATTTAGTGTGTGCAAACCAGACAGTTGGCCCAGTGGTTAACGTAGGATTTATCTCAGACCTCTGTGAGCTGATATGCAGCATTATAACATAACATCACGCTTCTTCCGTCTTCGCTTCTGAGAGAGGACAGTCATTTTCCTTGCACGACAAAAAGAGGTGACTTGCCAGGAAAAAGTAAACATAAGATGCTTTAATGTGAGCAAACAATCTGCTGTGTATCCAAAGTGCGGAAGTGTGACAAGATTTGTGTAAGTAGGTTGTAAATTTGTACAATGGTGAAACATAGGATAGGATTAGAGGGCAAAAGGCTAAATCAAATGAAAAGGGCTGAATAGCACCCCACTCTTCTGTTTCTTTCTTTAAAAAAACTAGCATCATTGGTTACAAATTATTCCTAAAAAGTACATTTATCTCATTATTTGCTACATTACTCCAGGCTGTCACTGAAATGCTAGCAGCTGCATCCTGTCTTACCTTATAAAAATTATAATTAAACTCTGCTGTGATCAGCATGTTAGCATTAACACCCAGTATTCATGTCATCATTGTGCTCAATAAATCAAAGCATATCCATCTCAAGCAAGTTCACATTTGTTACCACTGCTCTTCTAAGCTCGGGTGTTAACTCAGATGACAAAATCTAACAACAAGGAGAAATAACTGGGGAGTAGTTGCCACTTTTTGGGTAACTAAACTTCAATGTGATTTAAAGAGGAGCATAAAAGTGATTTCTTTTGCAGGAATATTATAAATGAAGTGTATTTCAACACATTACTTGTTACAAATGTGTGTGTAAGCACTATCATGCAATACATGTGCAATGTTAAACGGAGAGGGTCAAAAATATTTACAGATAAGAGGGTGACATCTTCTCTTGTCTCCATGTTAAAAAATAATAATTTGCCTGCAGCCTCGACCAGGAAACCCTGCTTCCTGGAAAACAAGCTTTTCTCCGTTTCATCTCACCTCATTGTCTGTGTCTCTTGTGTCTGTATCTGGGTTCACAAACGCAGATGAATCTATTTGTTTGATCCCACTGCTTTATTGTGTCCATTCATTCGTACATTGACGAGCGCGGCGGCGGCAAATCCTTCATACACGCACACACACACACATTGTGTGACTGGGAAAAGTTCAAAGAGTAAACAAATGCTGGGACTCTTAGATGTTTGTGTGTTCTTTCAGATGAATGCCCTCACACACAGCTATGTACAAACACACACACACACATGTACAGACTGGTGCAATATCACAGATGCACAGAGGTGTACCAAAAGTTACATTAATAACCATGTGTACTCCACAGGCCACACACATGAACCCACACTGTGAGCTCTACTCCCACACTCAGTATCATGCATGCACACATACTGTATGCACAAAGTTCTGCACAGACTCACACTTAGAACCATTCGTGTGGACACACACATGCACACAAAGCTTTATAATAGATGCAATTGATAAGCCAGAACAAGAAGTACAGTTTTTACGAGGTGTGACTTGGACTGCAGACATCTGGCCTTGAGACTGAGGTTCAGATCATTATTTTTCCCCCACTGTTTCTGCTCTGCTATTGTTCCAGCTTGTATATTAGACATTCCTCAGACATCATGCAAGATTACTGCAAGAGAATGAGACCATAAAAAAAAAACCTTTCTCATACATAGAAATGCACACAGCAACACACACAAGACATGGAGGTAGAGAAGTACACCCACAACCACACACGCGCCATTAGCTTATCAAACAGGAGACTGTTCTTAATTGACTAATAGCGACTGAGGTGTGCATAGAGGGATGAATGTGTCCATGTGCACGAGTGTGTAAGTGAGAAAGAAACGCT